TATATATATATATATATTTGTTATTTTCTCTCACTTGTGGGCCTTCTTTCAAAGTGTGGGGGTTTTCAATACCCACCCAACTCCGCCTCCTCCCACTCCTCTAGCGGGAAACGGGTTAAAAGGCACTTGCAACAGCTCCTTTTCGGAAAGTCACAAGACGTTTTTATGGTGGTGGGGGAGTCTTTTCAGACTCACCGTAGTTTTTTTTTTTTCTTTTTACTATTAATTTCTTTATGAGAGACGATAGTAAGAGATAGTGAAAAATAAAAAAGAATAATAATAATAATAATAATAATAATAATTGTTTCTTTTCTCTCTTTATCTTTCTATTAGGGAAAAGTAAGGCACAGACTTTTTCTTTTATGCTTGTGTTCAATTAATACTTCTTATTTATACCAATACAAATTAGCATGCCATTGTACTCCTTCATTCACCCCTTTCTTCATTTATTTTTTTGTCTCTCACTTAATATCAGCCATCCCTCTTTCTCTCTTTTTTTTCTTTTTAAAAACTTTGCTTTATTTTTTTTTTATATAATATGATACATTACTTCAAAAAAAAAAAAAGAGAGAGAAGAGAGGAAAGGGAAGACTGGTACCAATTACGCCATTACCAAATAAACTATATACATATATCTATATAGTTAACAAAAGTGGGAGGCGGGTGCTGGTAGTGTAGTGGTTGGGGTTACATTATATTGGAAATGAAAAAACTGTTAGAGAACGTTTTAGAGTCTGGTGATGTGCGGGAATTGGAAAGTGCCATTGTTAGTGCACAGAATAGCATTATCAACTCGGCGAATTTCCACCAACAAAACACAGACCTCGGTGATATTCTCTTGCGTTGCCGAAAAGCCCTTGTCAATAATCTTGAAGAGTGTAAAACACTACTCAAACCACTTCGTCGGGCCTGTCGACACTTTGATGAGGAGGAACTTACAAATACACTGCAGAAAATTTACCGTGAACCTCCCGAAGTACGTCGCTACATGCGTACAGACATTTTAGAGGCAGAGGCATTGCGCCACCGTATGCTTGATGCTGCTGAGAAGGCACACAAAATACTAGAGTGTACGAACTGGAAAGAAGTGGAACACTTTCTTGATGCCAACACTGCTATACTTCCTGATCGAACAGTACTGGCCCTCTTGCGACGAAGGGAGGAACTCTTAGCGGAACTACGAAGAAAACCTTCGGATACTGCATGGCGAATATCAGAGTTGACCCCAAGGCATGCTAATGGTACTCAAGAAAGGATTACGAAGGAAATCTATCTTGATGATAATCTTAACAACGATAATAATAATAATAAGAATTATAGTAATAATAAGAATTATAATAGTACTACTCTGAATGCCGGCTTAACACTTCGTTCATTACTGTGTGGAGAGGAAAGTCAACGTCAAGCATTGTCTATAGAGGAGCATACCCAGCGTGTATTGTGTTATAAATTGATGATGGGCGATTTGGCATTATTACTATCAGGTACAAAAGGGCCTAAAAGAACAATTACAGAGTTCCACAGAGCAGGGGAAGAGAGTACACCTAGTATGACACCCATGATGAGTTCATCATCAAGGAAAAACAATACAGATGTTGTGGATTCTTGTCTGCGTTTAGGGAGCAGAGCAACTACCCCAGATGTATCTCCCATTAGAGAAACTTCTTTGACAGATTTCATATCAAAAACAGAGAACCAAGTGCAAAAACATCGAGAAGATCAGATAAGTGATGTTAGTACCTTACCAACTGCAGTAGTTACAAACTCCAACAATAGTAATCCGATTATTCTCCCAGACACAGTGTCGTCTTTGCTGTTAGAGCGACATGCGGTTGTTTCACCCACCGTATGGGCACAACTTCGCGCAATGATGCGTGAAGAAGATGTTCGTCGCCGTGATATTGAAAGCACAGAAGATTTTGAGCGAAGTGTGTTTTTACTTCCTATGGCTGTGCAGGGTGGACTTCTTACACGTATCCTTCCGGGGCGGTCAACATTGTCTAGGCGATGAGTCTTATCTCAATGCTTCTGCCTATTATTATTATTATTATTATTATTATTATTATTATTTTTATTACTATTATTATTATTCTGTTTTTTCTCTTTGAGAGGTAAAGAACCATCACAACGAATTGTTCAAATTGTATTTTTATTTTTTATTTTTTGGTTCCCTCAATTTTTGCACGCCCCTTGAGAGGATACTACCTTCTGTGCTTATTCTTTTATATAAATATGTCTACCCATACATGTGTATACTTTTAGCCCCCTTTATTCTGTTTTTCTTTTCTTCTTTTACTTCCTTCTTTTTTTTTTTTTCTTTCTCCGCTAGTTTTCATGGATGGGGAGGAGATCACAACTCGATCATAATTGCGAGAGCTGCGTGTGTGGATGTGGGTGTTGTAGACTTCTCCGTGAGGCCCATGCTCTGCGGGAACAACAGAGAGAGAAGGATCTGGAGAGTGTTCGGCGTGGTGTTCACAAATGGCATCCACTGGATGTGCCTAAAATGGGAGTAATGGCCAAACAATTTATGAATGAGAAACAATACAACAAAAGTGATTCCAAAATTTCACTTCGGATGCGGTTCATGTACTAGATTTACTATCATCATTTCAGTAGACTCATGCTGTTTGTTTTTGCTTATTAATATTATTGTTATTATTACTGTTATTATTTATTATCATTATTATTATTATTATTATTATTATTATTATTATTATTCTGTGCCTTGCCTCATGTTTGAAGTATTTACTGAGCATCTCTTCTGTGTATTTGCCGTTTTCCTTTGACTCCTTTCTTTATTATTCCTTCCCTTCCACAGAGAGAGAGAGAAGTGTGTGTGCGTGGTCTCATGTTGCGGGGAAGACAGGGACCCACTATCAGTCGTCAGGATTCTCGACATGGATTAATCACATTGTGTTTTGTACAGGTGGTTCTCTCTACCACGCTGCTGCTGCTTCTCACTACCCAATGGACCCCAGAGCATAGACTCTTCCATTTGAGCCAGCATATATTTCTCATCTCATGGTTAACAAGAGGTACGCTACTGGCAATACCCATCACTTCTATTGCTATTGTTGTTAGTGTGTGGGTGCGTATTCCACGACTGATGTTAGTAGCCACTGGAATTATTTCACTTCTACTGGTTATGCTTGTTCTTACCATTGTGTGGATAACACAGCTACACAATGGTATCTGGAATAATGTATTTGCTTTGAATTACATGACAAATGGAGATGATGTATGTCCTGGCATTGCTGGTAGCGCCTGCTGTGGTTGGGATTACTGTCCGTTGCCGCTTTGTGAGTTTGCAGATCGTCCATGTGAGGAGGTTGTAACACAGTGGATACGCGACTTATTTGTGAAGACGATGCCGTTGCTTTCACTGATACTTACATTAGGTGTGGCACAGACAGTTCTTGGGTTTTACCGGGTCCAGCTCTTGTGGAGACAGGGCGTGTTCGCATAGGAGTTTCCCTTTTTTTTCCCTTCTTCTACTTAAACGGAGAGACGTATGCTTTTCTAGGATATAATATCCCAGTTTTTTTTGTTTTTTATTTTTTTATTTTTTTTTTGTAATCCTATTTTTTGTCTCCCTTTCTAGTATTTCCAACGACCATTTTATTCTTTTTCTTATATGCTCAATGTTATTTGATCGTTAAAGAAAGAAAGAAAAAAAAAAAAAACTTGTTTTTTTTTTTGTGTAATGATTGTGCCTACATGAGATATTTTCTTATTAGATGTAGAAATAAATTAACATCTGTTCTGTACCTTTGATATATTTCCTTAACGTTTCTCGAAGCCTTCCCATTCCTCTTCTATTCTGATTCCACACTCACCTATTTACTCACTTTCTTTCTCTCTCTCTCTTTCATATACATACTCACTCACATACACACACACAATGTATGTATATGTTTCTCTCTCTCTCTCTGTGTATGTGGGTGTGTGTATTATGTATAATATACGTAATTTGCACAAATATTAAATACAGCAGTGATTGATAGTATCTTCTTTTACTATTTGTGAAGATGCAAACAAACTCGGCACAGTGTGGTCCATGTAAGGGACACCGGGTGGCAGCAGGTGAGACATTCTTCTACCGAGAACACAGCAAACCACGGGTGGAGACATCATACCGCATTCGCCTTGTCTCTGGTACCTCCAATTCTGCCCTGTCAGAGAGTGTGGCTAAGTGTCTCAATACGCCTCTCTGCCGTACGGAGATCAAGCGCTTTGCGAATGGAGAGCTAAACATTAAGATTCTAGATGATATTCGCGGTGATGACTGCTTTATTATTCAACCGACTGCCGGTAACGAAGAGACCGATCTCAACACCTCCATGATGGAACTCTTGCTACTCGTGCACACACTGAAACTCTCCTCCGCCAAGCGCATCACCGCCATTGTGCCGTACTTTGCATACAGCCGCCAGGACCGCAAGACGGAGCCGCGTGTTCCCATTTCCGCCTCCGCCGTTGCGCAACTCATTCAGTGTATGGGCGTTGACCGCGTGGTGACACTCGATCTGCACTGCGGGCAGATTCAAGGCTTCTTCCGCAATATGCCCGTCGACAATCTCCTCATGTTCCCCGAGTTCGCCGCGTACATTAAGCGGCAGCCGTGGTTTGACGCCCAGCGCACAGTTGTGGTCTCGCCGGACGCGGGCGGAGTGGAGCGGGCGAATGTGCTCGCCGACCGCATTGGCGCCAGTCACATTGTCACTATTCTCAAGCGCCGCGTGGAGGCGGGCCGCGTGGACTCCATGCAGACGGTTGGGAACGTGGATGGCTACACGTGCATTATTGTGGACGACATGGTCGACACCGCCGGGACTCTCTGCAAGGCGTGTGATCTCCTGAAGGAAATGGGCGCCGTGCGGCTCGTCGCGTGTGCGAGTCACGGCATTCTCACCGACCCCGCCTGCGAGCGCATCTCCCGCTGCGACGCCCTCAGCGAACTCGTCGTCTCCGACTCCATCTCGCAACATGTGAACTCGCAGAAGTGCAGCAAACTGACGGTCCTCACCATCGCCCCGCTGCTCGTGCAGGCCATCCACAATCTCCACCAAGAGGCCTCACTCTCATCCCTCTTCGTGAAGTAGAAGAGAAAGAGAAAAAGAGATATTTGTCATTTTCAACACACACACGCATGTTCTGTTGTAATGGTGAGAGAGAGGGGAGACAGAAACGCGAGAATGAAAAAAAGAAAAGAAAAGAAAAAAAAGAAAAGGCAAACGATCGATAAAGGCGAAACGGAAGCACAAGTGTGAAGCAAGCGAAAAAAAAAAGATCAAACAACAACAACAACAATATACGTACAACAAAACCAAACAAAACAAAAAGGACAAAATAAGGTATACACTCCTGAAAAAAAAAAAGAAAAGATAAAAAGGATGAGTAGTAAGAACATTATGACAGAAAAAAAAAAGTGGAGAAGATATGGAGAGTGATAGTGAGAGCAAAGAAAATGAAAAATAACTATAGTTGAACGGGTAAGAAGATGGAAGCTCATTTATCTTTTTTTTTCTTTTAAAGGGATGAGATACTCTTTTGTTGACGCAAAATAAAACACAGGCCTACTTGCAGGCATACGCCCAGAATAATAATAAGCGAGGAACAGCGATAAATGAGATGTTCGCTCAATGAGTGTGTGTATGCACGCATGGGATTGTGTATTTCCCATTCTTTTCCGTATTATTATTTCTTTATATATATATATATATATAAAGAAATGTATTTCGAGTGGTGGATGCCTCTCAGAAGACCTAAACTTATCAATTTTCTATTTTATTCCATTTCTTTTTCCTCTCCAATCTTTTCGTTTCTGTTTTACTTTGTACTTTCCCTCGTTTGTACTGTTTCTTCTTCTTCTTTTCTTCTCTTTTTCCCCACCATTCTCTGGTTATAGCATAGTGGGCTGTAGAAGATTGAGGTGCTGCTGTAGTATTCTCAAAACAAGAGAGGTAAAACAAAAAAAGTAGAAATATAGTTTTTTTTTTCTTTTATTTATTTTCCCACCTACGCACCAACACAATCTAATTGTCTGTGTTTTTTTTTTTCTTTGTAATTTTGTTTTCAATCTTCTGCATTTGGGCAGAAATACAAGACGAAGTGTTACAGTAAACGTAGAGATTTATTAATAAACAAGAATTAAAAAAAAAAAAATAGAAGATAGAGTCGCATTGGCCAACAAGAGCCCCGAATAATATAATAAAAAAAACAAAAAACAAAAGACGAGAAGTGATATGTTCGATACTCAATCCACTGGTGGTTCCTCACTTGTCTCTGTACATCCAGAGTACTTGGACGGGCAAACACCACGTCGCTCAACCAATGAACCAACTATGGCCACAGAAGCAAGTCCAACATTTCTTACTGCACGTTCCTTGCTGACACAGGGACATACCGTCAATAATTCATTTGAATCACATGATGAATACAACAATGCAAATATAAACGTACAGAATAGTGACAATCGTACCTCAAGGGCATGGAATGCCGTTCGTAACAGGGCAGCGGATGTAGTTCGACGTGCTACCAAAGGTGCTAACAATCTTATTGAACGATTACTAGAGCCGCATGGAACAGATAGTAATAACACTAACAATGCAGGAGACGGAAGGAATGGCACTCTTTCTCTGCAACTTGTATGTATGAATGGGACAAATCCAACGTATTCTAACCCAGCACTTCTGACGAACTTTGATGAAGATGCTTTCAATGGTGATCCATCTGCAGACCCAAACAATGAAAAAGAGGATTATGTTGAAGAAGAAGAAGAAGAAGAAGAGGAAGATTTAGAACCATTGCGTGTTGAGATTGATCTCCCTTCTACTCTACGAGCCTATCGCAAAAATCCTAATGAGTGCTTTGGTCACCTTGTTGGTGCTGCCCTCTCAAGCCGTTCTCCTGAGGATCCGGTGACGGGTGTTGAACTTCGAGAAGCGCGACGTAATCCATATCTTGTGCGAATGGTAATTGACTCCAACTTGCTTGACCTCAATGATGAGTTAGTGCATTCAGAGGTGCAACGTTGTGTGGATAGTTTGATTCCACCTGAAGTACAGCGAGTTCCACAGGGTGTTTACGAATATCTTCCTTCACTTTTTAAATTACCATTTGTACGCCTTAATTCAAAACAGTATGAAGTATTAAAAGATAGCGGTTTTGAGTTTGTAACTTTACTTTGTGAATATCCTCATATTTTACCACCAGGTCGATTCAACTCTATTCGATTAAACTATGTTAATCGAAGTTGGTATATTGACTTATTCTTGATGTTAGTAAATATTTTTACAGAAATTTTTTGTATTACTAGTATTGTGCTTGTAACTGTGCATTATATGATGGTTGATGGAGGTGAATATCAAAGTTATGGTTATTATACAGTTACCATGTATGGTGTGGGTTATGCTGCAAATCTTATTGGTATGATTTTCTTAATGAGAGGAAAGGAACGAGATACAGTGTATGGTAAAATGTTGTGTGGGTTTCCATCCCCACATCTCCATGTGGTACCAGTAGTGCCATTGTATAATATTGTTAGCTTTATCACTTATCTTCGATACCGTATGGCAAAGAGACGTGGAGGACATATTGCCGTTATACATGATATTCTTATTGCTCAGATTCTTTCAAGTCTCTGTTTCGCTCTTTGTTTAGCGATGCCACAATTTATTTTTCAACGTTATATTAATGCGGCTGATGTTTATATACCTGTAAGAATAGGTCATAACTATTCCTTTGTACTTCTTTACATTGCAGTCATTTCCACATGTTTTATTGTATTACTTCGTATGCTTCGAGTATTTTTGACGTATGATTCTATAAACTGTTTTGGATTTGCTTGTTTTGGATTTCACGGTGATAGAATTATAGAGCGACACTCCGCGATATTACGTATGGTGTATCTTTGTTGTTTATTCGTATTTGAGTTAAATGTCTTTTTCCTAGTATTGGGTTCTATGGGTGTTTCCGATTGTGCGGGGAAAGCTGTAGTTACAATTGTAATTAGTGGCATTAGTACCTTTCTTCTTGTCCTCGTGTTTGGGTTTCTACTTTTATGGCATGAAACTGTATTCCGTATTATGTGGTCTTTGATTCCACTAACACTTTTACAGATTGCGTTATTAGCATATAAGTCTACTGTATCAGCAGGGACATGTGAGCTTATCACCGTAGCAAAAGGGAGTTGGCTTTTATTTCCTGATATTATATGGGCACTATTGTTCTTTTTTCTTCTTCTTCTCCTGATCCAAGGAATATATGTGTTTGTTAAGGGTAGAATGCTCAGAAAGTCTAACTAAATCACACCTTTTTCTTCTGAATTACGGAATCCAACATTTTACTCAGCCTTTCTTTCTGCAAAGAATTATATATATATATATATATATTGGCACTCAAAATTGACACTATGAGGAGCACTTAACATACTACCTAGACCTTTTACTCTCTTTTTTTTTTCTTTTTTTGTCAGCTTGCGAAAAGAATGATCGAGTTTTACTCTCTTTTATCAAATCCTGTACTGGGGTTTTTAATTTTTAGGAAAATGGGTTTTCTTTCCAATCTTTTACAGTCTGTCAATCGTAAGTTTCTGAAAAGCCCACCCAACCCAACCTTCTCCGCCCCCGAGCGGGAGGCGGGCTAAAAAGGGGCTTCTCAGCACTTTCATTTCATCAGTTCTTGGGATATTTTTAATAAATAACTATCTGGGAAAATACAATTCATTTTTTATACACGGTGGGGTTCCAATTCGTGGAGGTTAAATACAGGGTTTTCTTTTTGTTCTTCTGTTGTTGTTTATTGTAGAAGTAAGGCTAAGATTATTCTGTTTTTCTTGTGGGCTTCAACCTTCTTTGAACCCTTGCTATCTGTGAAAAACAATAAAAAACAGAATTTTATAAACACGTGTATACATAGAGGGAATAGAAACGTGAGGGCTATGATTTTGTAAATGAGACGAATTTCAACTGCTGTAGCGCTTCAGTGGTTTTCTTTAGGTCATCCACTTTGTTCTTTTCAGACACGGTGGAAAAGTTGCTCACCAGCAGAGGAACTACAACGTCGTGTTGGACAGCTGGTTAGTAAGCGTAATGTTGATCAGGTGTCCCATGAGATTCGTGATGCTTTGGGCAAATCCATTTTCTCCATGAAGGCATTTGCCAGTGCTTTATTCCTCTGTGAGCAGACACAGAATGAGGTTGTAGGGATAGAACTAGTGCGGCAGGTACAGGCCTCTAACTTGGTAGAATCGTGGGATGATGAGAGTGTTCTTTCGGTTGTTTTACGTCTGCAGTGCTCTGTGGGGGATGCTGCTGCGGCCACACAGATGTTTTCTTTTTTGGTTTCTAAGAAACTCCTGCGACTTCGAAGTACCTCTGTGTTTCTAGGCTTCTGGTGTAAACGTTTAGATCGATCCATGGCCTTTGCTGTGTATGCAGAGGCCCTTCGACAGGGAATTGAGTTGCGTGCCCTGGACTATGTGGAGCTCGGCCGGCTCTGCGTGGCCCTGCAGGAACCAATCTCTACACTTCATTACATCCTGCGGGAAATGCAGGAACATGTCTTGTCTGTGCCGGCGGTGATGTTGACGGATGTACTCTCGCCGTGGGCACAGCGGGCTGGACTGCGGGTGGAGAGCGTATCATTTCCACACAGTGATCCCACCCGCCCACCCGGCACCTGCAGTTGTTGCGGTGCTCTACTGAAGGGACACCGCTTCACCACCGCACAAAAGACAAGATTACTTAAAGATGTGGTGGAAGTGGCGTTGGTGGCACAACGAAAAAAATCCGCCCGAGTTCGAATTGGATTTGAGGCCTGGAGACGATTTGTGGCACTGCACGGTCAAAGAATTGATGTCTTGATTGATGGGGCTAATTTGGGTTACTATGGTTTGAGTAGCTGGTATGCAGATGCGAAGCGAGCACTGTTACTAAAACGTGGTAAAAGAGAAGAAGATATTAAACCGCAAGATATTGTATGGTCTAAACAAGGTAGTGTAGATGTTGGGGTAAACTTTCATTTAATAGATCTCGCAGTACAAGAAGCACGACGTCGTGGAATGCGACCATTAATTATTCTACATGAAAGACACTGTGAAACAAAGAATATGACATCTTCTGATGAGGTTCTAGCAGCACAATGGCGTCGTGATGGGATTCTCTACTGTACACCAAGTGGCCTTAATGATGATCTTTGTTGGTTGTACGCCGCATTAGAGCTCACTACACCAACAGATGCTGTTGCTGGTACAGTAGAGAAAACTGTGTGGGTACTCACTAATGACTTGATGCGTGATCATCACTTTAAACTTCTCAGTCCTCGTTTCTTTGCTCGATGGCGAGATCGTCATCGTATCGCATTTAAATGCTCTCGGAAAGATAACTGTACACTTCTGCATTGGGAGTTACCGGTTCCTTATGCCCAATGCATTCAGGAAGTAGAACCTCTCAAATGGCATATTCCAATCGCAACAGAAAAAGAAGAGGGAGAAGAAGTAGAAGAAAATAAAGAAGAAGAAGAAAAAAAAAAAGATGCGGTGGATGAAAACTCCAATTTGCAGGAGAATCAAGAGGGTAATGATAATAATGGCATGGCCGTTGTGCCCTCTCAGGTTTCACATACTTGGGCCTGTATAGGCTAAGGTGCTGGAGAACCAGCCCTAATTCTATTATCTAACTACTTCCCTCTTAATACACAGTCCAGCTATCCAATTATTATTATTATTATTATTATTATTATTTTATCTTCTAGCTTTTATAACATCTTTCTTTTCTCTTTCTCTTTCTTTCTTTCTCACAAACACGTAGTTAGCCGGACGCGAAGATGACAAAGGGTACCACATCCATGGGTCAGCGCCACGGGCGCACGCACATTCTCTGCCGCCGCTGTGGTCGCAATGCGTACCATGTGCAGTGGGAGCGCTGTGCCGCCTGCGCCTATCCACGCGCCAGCCGCCGTCGTTATAACTGGTCTGTGAAGGCCATCAAGCGCCGCACCACTGGCACTGGCCGCTGCCGCTACCTGAAGACTGTGAACCGCAGAATCAAGAACCACTTCAAGACATCTATCAAGGCGTAATCGTACAGAGTACAGGAAGAGTGAAATGAGGAGTGTGGGGTGTGGGAAAAGTGAAAAAAGAAAGACAAACAAACAAACCACACACCATCCATTCATATACACACATACACACAAGAGACACGAAAGCGTCATTTCTCTCCCTACTAAAGGGGAAAAGTGAAGAGAAAATGTGAGTGTGCGTTTTGGTGGTGAGAGAGAGAGAGAGAGAGATAAAGAGAGGGAGAGAAGGAACAAGTGACAGAACTGATACAAGATGTATTTTCATCTTGTTCATTTGCTTTGTTTCTTGGGTGACGTCACTTTTTTTTTCTTTTGCTCACTCACTCTTTCTTTCTTTTTTTTCTCATCCCTCTTCCTCTTTTTCGCTCCCTTCATTGGGGACTTCCTCTGGCTTCGAATATCTTTTTTTTTCGTTCTTTTTACTCATTTACTGATTACTAAAAATTTTTTTTCTTCTGTTCCGTTTATTGGACTGAAGTGTTTTTTTTTTTTTCTCCTTTTATTTGTTTCGTTTGGATTTCATCAATCCTGCATCTCTCTATTGATCTTTACCTCAAAATTTTCACTTTCTTTTCTTCTTTTTTTTTCTTTTACTCCTTCTGATGTGTGGGTGTTGTGCTTTATTATTATTATTATTATTATTATTATTATTATTATCATTAATAGTATTAATAGTATTAGTAGTAGTTGTAGTAGTGGTAGCCTCTAATGCGACGAGGTTTCGCACGAGGTGTGCGTTACACCGCCGCTTCAGTGCTTCTAACAGCAACCCGTCAGGCCACATGTTTATTGTGTGATGTGGATTACACCTCATGGGGAGAACACTCAATGGGAACAGCACACATTGCACGCAGCGCCATTTGCAGAACATACGTGGCCCCAGAGCGGCACAACTCCATGATGCAACAACTATGGAAACACATACGCCTGGACTTTGGGTATATTGATGATGTTACTCACAAGAAGGAAGATCACAGACGTGGACGGCTTGCATCTACGATGCGACACTTACGAGAACAAGGTGTTCTTCGCCATTCTCTTCCACAGTATTCTGTAGATGCACAGGGAATTGGAACTTTTCGGATTACAAAGGATACCTTTGTAAACTTTATGCTTGTAGGAGAGAGTTATGCAAGACAGGAAACGATGGATCGAGTGGCGCGACTAATGCCACGATTAGAAGCAGTAGAGTTAAGTAGTGTTGTGCAGTATATATTGTCAAAACGACGTCTTGCTCGATTGTTTGATGAACTCACTATGCAGCAACTTATTACACATGATACTACATTAAAAGCTGAAGAGCCACGTGATGAGACGGAAACCAACACCACAAATCTCTCTAGCAATACCGGAAAAGAATCTTCTCCCAACACTTTAGGTGAAGTACCTCGACTGCGACAAGATGAGAAGGCGGTGATGCTGATGAGTTGTCTGGGGGAACTGCAGATGTACGCGCGACAGGATCGCTCCCACAGTGTGGCCACGCGGGCTGCCGCTGAGCAACTCGTGCTGAATGTGCTCGGCAGCCATGTGATGGAAAACATCATTGCGGAGTTGGTCCACGCGGTGCTGCAGAGTGTCGTGGAGGAGGGCACCCCCGTCTGGCGCGCCCACTGCAGTGAACTCAGCAGTAAACTCTTCGAGGGCACACGATCCCCATCCCCATCCCTCTCTCCCACGCCCACTCCACCGTTATCACTATCACTTTCACGATCCACAGCTGAGGAGGAGGAGTCGTCTTCAACGAAACGCACGGAGGATCTTCTCGAGTTGTACGCTCTCGACGCGGAGCCAACAACGCCGATGTTTCCACCAACGGCCGGGCGGCGGGTGTGGAGTGAGGTGACGCGGGCCCTCGCATTAGAACTGACGGTGCCAAATCCAGTCAACAAGAGCGCCGTGTATGCACAGACAGCACCACGGCTAGCAGTCAAGAAGAAGGCGTAGAAGAAAGGGAGCACATGTGTGTTCAATCAACATCTCTCTCTTTCTTTCGTTTTTTTCGCCTTCTTCTTCTTCTTCTTGCAGTGGTTCTCTGGTGTAACGATATGTGAAGAGGGAAGGAAAAAAAAAAAAGAAAAAAAAAGAAGAGTGGAGAAGTTAATGGAAAATAATAGGGATACAAGATTGCGGTTTTTCTATCTTTTATTCTGGGGGTTATGTCTATTGGAATGTTACCCTGCTTTGTTTTTCTACCACCTTTGGTGGAATAATCCGAAGCAATTCACTGCGCGAATATTGATCAGCCAGAACAGAAATAAAAGGAAAAAGTGAAGTATATGTGAAAAGAAAAATAATAATAGTTGCATATCTTTTTTTTTTCTTCTTTTTTAGATGGCTGTTTTTTTGTATTATCTTTGGAGTGAAGAACGATTAGAGTACAGCTGAGAGACGCTACAATTTTTCGGTGTTCGAGGGGTATTGAAAATAATACATATTTACCTTGAGACGTATGCTTTCATTAACATCCATTGTTTATTTACACCCTTATTCATCTAATGCTTCCGGGTTCTCATTACGTATATATTTATATATGTTTTTTTGGGAATGGAGTGTATTGGGTAAAACACTAAAACAAAAGAAAAAACCTAAAGTGTACATTTGTGATGCTTTTCATTGAGAATTTTTATTTATTTATTTTGCACTTCTTTTGGTGTATTGCTTTTCCCAATGTGTGTTACTCTTTTATTCTGTATACACTGGTATTTCTTCTTTTGGGTACTGCCCCTTTTTTTTCTTTGTCATTAATACTACTGTTTTTTTTTTTTTTTCCCCCTTCTCTCCTCTCTTTGCTCTCTTTGTGTTTTTAGGTCACTCAACCAAAGCGACTATACGTTTGCATTTTACAGTGTTTCAACTACTGAAAAAAGCAAAAAAAAAAAAAAAACAAAAAAACAAGACGGAAACGAAAAAAAGAAAAAAAAAAATAGGTAGTAGACGGAAATAAAGATCATTTTCATTCAACTACACACTTACGTATCCCTCCCTCATTCACTCACCCCCTCACACAAAACAACAACAATAACGAAAAAGAAAAAGGAATTAAACTGAAAGAGTTGGAAAAAACTCCAAAGAAAGAAAGAAAGAAAGAAAAAAAAAAGAAGAACACTACTAAAGAGTAAGTACCAATAAAAGAACGACAACCATAACAGGAACAACTGTGATAAACGAAGTAGACTCGGTTATTATGGCTTCTATGGATATTCCCCCTTCTTCTCAACAAGTGGCTTCAAATGGGACAGAGCGTCACTTTGAAAATATTGTAGGTGCTCCTGGTAGCACAAACTGCAAATATGAGAAAGTTCGCATTCTTGGATGTGGAACATTTGGTGAGGCGTGGCTTGTTCGCCGAGTATCTGATGGTCAATTACTTGTGGCTAAGCAGATGGAGTTGTCATCCATGTCGGACAAGGATAAGAAATATTTGGCAGGAGAAATCCAATGCCTCGCATCCTGTGATCATTTCGCAATTGTAAAATATATTGAGGATTTCAATGAGGGTGATCACATGCTTATTATAATGGAATTCGCAGATGCCGGTGATCTGAATGCTCAGATTAAACAAAGAGAACGTGATGGAATGCACTACTTTGAAGAACATGAAGTGGGATACACCTTTGCCCAAATCGCATTGGCATTGGAACATATTCACCGTCGCCGCATGTTACACCGTGATGTGAAGGGAGCCAATGTGATGCTCATGACGAATGGAATTGTCAAACTTGGCGACTTTGGCTTTAGCCACAAGTACGAGGTCACCGTGTCGGAAGAAGTCGCCCAGACCTTCTGTGGCACTCCCTACTATCTCTCACCTGAGCTTTGGCGTTGCCAGCGGTACAGTAAGAAGGCAGATGTGTGGGCGCTTGGGATTCTTCTTTACGAGATGATGGCCCTTCGTCGCCCTTTTGTGGGAAAAGGCATGCGGCCGCTGATGGAGTCGGTGCTCTCCGGCCGTGTTTCCGTTCCGCTGCCGGAGCGGTACAGTCCGGAGCTGCGGGGTGTTTGCATGGAGTTACTGCGGCCAGACCCGAATATGCGACCATCATTGGAGCAGCTGTGCAAGATGCCACATATGATCAGATTGCTGAAGGATTTCAGGTACAGTGTGTCGGCATCCCCACACATTACGGATGAGTTAAAGGAACAGATATTTAATAATGTAGATGAAGTTCTTGATGATAACAGTATTCCAGCAAGTGTTGGCAAGGTTGGGGAAATCTGCGAGTCTGTATATCATGAGGGTGAGGTTCGTAAAGAGAGTGATAATGAATGGAAAAAACGATTTCTTGTGTTAAGGAATGGTCAACTTGTGATTAGTAGACGCAAGGGTGATCGTGAGGCAAAACCCCTCTCACTAGACGCCGTTGCAAGTGTTGTGCCAGTTCCCGTGCATACATCAAAGGTGGATGCGGTGTTTGCGATTAACCTGCGAGATCAACGCCCACTGTGGTTCCAGGCTCCAAGCCGCAAGGAGGCAGATGAGTGGATTCACAAGATCCAGCAATCAATGGGAGTGGCGTGAATAATAAGAAAGGATGGCTAGTCATAAAATAAAGAGTGTGAGAGAGAGAGAGAGAGAGAGAGAGAGAGAAGGATATATATATATATGATAGGAGAGATACGTGCTGAAAAAAAGAGTGTGAAATATATATAAACAGAAAAAGAGAGAAAGAAAAAAGGAACACAAAAAAACGTTTCCGCCTAATTTAATTTTCTTTCTTTTTCTCTTTCTCCCTATCTGTTTCCCTCTTTCTCTACCGTTATTTTTTTTTTTCTCTTCCCCTCTATTTTTTTAAGGAATGTGATGAGTATTTATCTCTTTGTGTGTTTTTTTTTTGTGTCTAATTTATAACTCAAAACTTGTCATTTCTGTTCCCTCTTATTCCTCACATTCTTTTCTATTCCTCCTCTCTTCATTGAGAACTCGGTCGAACTTGTTGAGAAGTGAACCATCAAGTTGTTCTGTTTTCTTTTTTTTGACCTCTCTCTATATAGGATACGTGCACAATCACGCACTCGATTTGCGTCTCTTTAGAGAACATTGTGGTGTCGTTCTCTCTGGTCATTTTTTTTTTTAAGAAATTGTGTTTATCTGGCTTCCCACCCCTCTTTTTTTAAAAAAAAAATGGTATTGTTTTTATTGTTGTTGTCAGTCCTTCTTGCTACAAGTGTAAACACTTGTGATAAGGTTTGAAGGAAGGTGAGGGTGAAAAAAAAAAAAAAAAGCATCTCAAGGAGAATGATGAAATATGATCAGTACGGTTGATTAGTTCTATATTATATATATTATATATTATATTATATATGTATATATATCCTCTTGATGCTGTTGTTATTGTATGCTTTTTTTCCTTTTCTTTTCTCTTTCTCTCTTAAGGCACGTGTGGTATCAACGCATGAATAGCTTTATATTTCTATCGACCTCAGGTGATCCGGTGGAGATTGAAGTAAATGCGGGAATTACTTGCCAATCTGCGTGGCTGCAGGCGGCACTGGACATTGGTGAGAAGGAGGGGATTGTGCCTGTCGCTAGTACGGAGACATTACATTGCCTGGTAGCGTATATGAAGGAATATGCAGCACATGTAGAAGAATGGAATAATGATGGGAAACCACCAATGGAAGTTCAAATACCCATTTCATGTACCTGCAAGATTAGCGATGCCGGGCAGGGATATGATGTACATCAAATGTTAATGCCTAGTGATATAATATTTCTGGATAACTATTTTGGAAAGAGTGATTCATGGGAACCAGAATCACAAAAACGTCTTTTTGAACTCTTGGCGGCTGCAGACTTTGTGGGGCAAACACATTTAAGAGATGCCTGTGCGGTGTACTTTTCTTGTCGACTGATGTCTGCATCGGAGTCCGACATTTTAGGGTGGTTTGCAAAGGGAACGAATGGGGTGTTTTTGAGTGATAAGAAGTGTGGGGAAGAAGGATTAGTGCTTAGTGACGAGGACCGACTAAATCTCCTGAAGGAGACTCAGAAGAATATTTATCTTGATACTCTTTGATGTATTGCCATCATCATCATCATCATCAGTTAAAAACAAAGATACAAACAAACAAACAAACAAACAAACAAACAAAAAAAAAAAAAACGAAGAATATTATGAAAATGGTAACTGCTTATAATTTTTTTTTTCTTTTCTTTTCTGCTTCTTCCCTCATTCACTACTACCCACACATGACAGTTTCTCTCTTTCCATCATTATTGCACCTCTATGTATATATGTGTATATAAAAGTATAAATATCTGCGATTGTACAGTTCATCTCTTGCCTCTTCCTCAGCCATTAATCTCTCTTCCTTTTTATCTCTTGCAGAGCTTCCCTGACTGCCTCCTTTCGGCAAAAAGGCAAACTAATTGAACACCAAAAGAATAAACACACACACAAAAAAAAAAAAGAAAGGAGAAGGAATATACATATACGCGAGAAACTAGAGGGTAAGACTTTAACGGTGCCTCTGTACGTGTAAGAGAGATAGATTGATTTAAGATCGAGAAGAATAACGGCGAAACAAAACAAACAATAAAATAATACAAACACAAACACACAAAAAGAAATATATATATATATATATATATATATATAAAAGAAATCTGCACGACGCTTTACTTAAATGCCGCTGAAGCCCCAACCCCAACCCCAGCCGCGGCCCAGTGGCAAGCGGACTCCCTGTGTGCTCAGCAGACCGCCAGCACCGCCGCCGCTCGGCCCAGAGGCGGGAATGGCGGTTGTCGGCTCGCGTGTCAGTCGACTCCTGCGGGACGCCCGGGCCGCCGTGCAGCAACGACACCGCCCAGACACACCGCCCATCACAACAACGACAACAGCGGCAGCCGCAGCGGCAGTGAGGCGACAACCATTGCCGTTGCCAAAGCGTGGAATTCGACTAACCGCAATGCTTACCTCCACGCCATCAGAGACGTCACAATTAGTAACAAGCGCGCAGCAGCTTGATAAAGCCTCTTTTGAATCTTCTCTGGATGCTGTTAAAGGAGTTCCTTCAGCACAACTGGAAAAATTAGGTGAACTTAAACGTTGGTTGGTTAACCCCCAACATCTTCTTTGGGATTCCGTGGTGACCCGTTTAGTAGAGATGGTCTTAATGCCAAGTACAGATGTACGTGTTGTAATAAGTGCCGTATCAATTCTTTTACGATATAATTATGTTAATAGTTTTCCTTCACTTCCTGTGGTTGTACGTCGTCTACATGAATTATGTGAAGGAGGTATGGAGAAGCAACTTTTAGAGGATATACTAATGCGTGAATCCCTTCTTCAACCCCTTTTACATTTACTTACGAATGAAGAATTATTATTTCATCAGCCTGGTGTGTTGTGGGATGTTTTAGAAACTTTACGTTCCTGTAGTGCTAACAGTGACGTGATTTTAACACAGTTAGTAACATTAGGAGTAATTCCTAACTTAAATACAGTACTCCAACGTATTCTCACATTTTCAGGTAATTCACCATCTAAGTCATTCACATCATCTGACAGTTCATTACATACCCTTATTCCTCCACTTTGTTTAATCTATCGCAACTTAAGTACAGAGTATTCTCATCACCTACGCAAATTAGGTTCACTTGACCTTATTATAAGTGTACTGGAACAATTTCGAGGGGATGATGATGTTGTACAAGCTGCTGCACGAGCTATGGCAAAAACAGTCTTTGATGATGGATGTTTAGAACATTACCAAGATGGTACCCGTGCTTGTAATGCTGTGGTTGGGTCTCTTGAAGCGAGTATAGATGTAGGAGGTTTGTCTGTTAGCCGTCTTTGTGGAGCATTAGCCAGACTTGTGGAAGGGAGTAGAGAACTTCGTGATTGGCTTATGCATCATCATCAACGCATGTTAATTCGTCTTGTGAGGAGATATATTGCTCCATTGCCATCTAAACAGGAAGAAAAAGAAGATGAGACTACAAAAGATACGAAGGAGGGCACGACAACAGAAGGTGTAGTAGACTTATCACCAGATATGGAAGATGCGGAATTGGATGATTTACTGCAAAGTATTACGTGGCTTATTGGAGTGGCCGCTGTAAGTGCAGAGTGCTCACCTGATTTTGTACTTGAGATAACTCCACTACTTGTGAGCTTTCTTAAAAATCTCGACATGAATAAAAAACGTCTTACTTTTATTCTTACCCTTATGTGTATGAGTAACCTTTCTTTTTTCTTTGATGCACTGGACAAGACAGAAAAGGGTCATGAAGCTCTTGTTGATATTTACGCAACTGTAGGATTTATACTCGCTGGTGTTCTTTTCGATGGTGATACAGAAGCCACTGTTGAGGCCACACGTATACTTGGAAATATGAGTCTTACAAATGCTGGACGAGATTGGATGGAAACAAACCGATGTGATGAAGTATGTATTGTCTTTCTTGGTCATGAGGATCCCCGTATTGTATACAACTGTTTTGGGGTATTGCTTAACTTAACAGCGGCAGATTCCTGTCGTGTGGCTTCTGATCAGCAATTACTGAGTATGTTACTGCAGCACACAGGAAGATACACCCGTGAAGATTGTATTGCTGCAGAGAAGGCACGGGAATGCAGTCGACGTGGAGTTGTTGCAGGTGCTGCTGGTCGTGCGGGTGGTTCCAGCGGTGATGGAGAGGCGATGGAGGATCTACGATACATTGATCAAATCGCCGATGTAGTGGAGAAACTTCTACTAAACCTCAGCGCTCTCATATGACATTATTATTATTATCATTATTTATTATTGTTATTATTGTTATTTTTAATGCAGATGCTTGTACTTAAATAGAGTATATATGCTTATATAATGTATATATACAGAAAGAAAAAAAGGAAAGAAAGAGAGGGTGACTTTCTAGTCCAGTACGTGGAGGTCATTCCCCCATCCTTACTTATTCCTAACCCATACAACTGCATGGGTGCTTGTTTTGCTTTTTTTTTTTTTTTAATTGCTCTACCGTTGGGTAGCAGTAGTAGCAATGGTAGTAGTAGTAGTAGTAGTAAGAACAACAATAACAATAACAAAAGTGCACTAACACAGATTGTAATATGCTTTGCTTTCTTTTTCTCTCCCCCTTTTTTTTTTTTACTTTTCCTCTTATATTTCAAATGTGCTTTAACACAACCAACGACATATGAATACCTACACACAGTTTCAGAAACAAGTGGGGTGACACATAAGGATAAAATAGAAAGAAAGAAAAAAAAAAAAAACAGAGAATTGAGACCCCTGGGGGAAAAAAAAACCTGCATAATGAGTAGTCAACATGAAATGGATGGCGGTGTTGATGCACCACAGTTCGGCTGGTATAAACCCCGTTTTCTCCCGAAGCGTGATCCACCCGCGAGTTCATTCCCGCCACTCTCCAAAGTTGTTGTGAGTGATGAGTTGGACGGCAACATCAGTGATGAGTTGGCATTGCAGCGTCGGGTGGAGTTGGGAGTTGCATGGGAGCGAATGCGGTCCATTGAGGATATATGGAACGGTCCACCCATGAGTGATAAAGTGCCACCCGCAAAAGACTACGAACGACTTTTGATGATGTCGGATTCTAATCTGGAGGAACAACAGTAGAGAAGAGGTGAGTTCATGTGCTGTCTATCCATGAACGCCTTTTTTCTCTCTTTATTTTTCAATGTCGCTCCTTTTTTTCTTCCACAGAGAGACACATATACATACATACATATATATATACAAGAGTATTATTTCTTATTTGTTTGTGGGTGTTTTGTTTATTCCATTTCCCTAGTCACAGTGTGTATATGATGTTTTTTTTTTTTTTTTTACCTTCTCTTCTGTTCCTATTGGTTATTATTATTATTATTATTATTATTATTATTATTATTATTATTATTTTGCTAACATTGTAGAAAGAAAAGGAAGAAAGGCCGGGAGAGAGAGCGGGTTGGTAGTGGAGACACAAGACACGAATACATAGTTGGGAAGTGTCACCACTAAAGGAGAAGGAAGAGACGAAAACAAAGAAAAAAAAAGAAGAAAAATAGAACCAACAGAGGAAGAAGTAAGGGGGGAAAAGAAGAAAGAAAGGGAGAGATAAAGAAAAAAAAAGAGGAAAACAACCACAAAAACCACAACCAAAAAGAACCAAAAAACATGGGGACTGCTTACGAAGAGACGTATGGCATGTTACAACTTCCGCCGCGGGGAAGTAAACATATAAGCCTCTCAAAGGATACACTGTTCCTTCACCAAACTGATACTGCAGATGAACACGAAGAGGGTCCTTCTGTACCTCCCGCGCAGGCCTTTGCTGGAGTTTATATGGAACCCGTCGTGCGTTCCGTTCTCACAGCAGAGCAATTCATGCGATGGTCAAAGCGTGATCGCCGTGTAGAGGAGTCCAATTTGTGGAGTTTATTGTTGGAATTACTACTGGACGCAGAGCAAAGCAGCAGATATAATCCAGATGCTATTGGGATTGCAGAAGTGCAACCACATAGGCGTTGGTATATCTCTCAATTGGCACACATACAAGATTTACTGCAACGATATCCTCTGTTGCGTCGCATGAATATTGTGATGCGCTGGCTTGAACAAACTTATAGAGAAGGAAATACACCACTAAAGTTATCGGCATCTCGTTCACATGAAGAGGCAGTTTTGCTTCGACAAATTATTCTTTCATATTTACGTGGTGGTGAACTTTACAGAGCCATTGATTTGGCCGTTACGGCTGGTGACTGTACATATAGTTGTGTATTGAGTGCTGCACAGATGCAATCCGTTGCTGAACCGTGGTTTAACGTAACACCTCTGGTACCACTGTTTGGAGAGTATGGAAACGGTGAAATGGAACAAGAGTGGGCGGGTAATGATCATCGCCTGGATAATCTCTCTCAACTGTATGAAGATTTTGTAGAAGATTCAACTTCAAGTTCAGGGCAAACAGCACTTGGAGGATTAGACGCTGTTATTGCAGCTGTTCTTTGTGGAAATCTTGAGGTTATGGAACCGGCATTTATGGCCTCAGGAAACTGGAAAGATGTGATGTGGTGTCATCTGCGCTCTGCTTTAGTCTTGTGCTTTACAAAGACACTTATGAATGCACATATCCCTCTGCAGGCATCATATGCCGCTTTGGTAACTAAACTAACTGGTCCACATGACTGTTGGCAGGATGAGACGGCACGTAGTGTTGTAAATCGACTTTCAGAAAGACTTCAGAATACATATCTTCGTACAGCTTCATTAGAGGAACAATTACAAATGCGTGTGATTCTTCAATTTCTCTCACCTGGAGGAGTTGATAGACTAAACATCAGTTCTGATATTTACAGTAAACGACGGGATGGACCTCGATTGGTATCTCACCTTTTGCTCTGTCTTGATACAGCTTATAATGAGACATTACACTCTCATTCTGTTCAAGTCTACTCTAATAGTCTCGCCACCGCTCTTGCACAGTATGCACAAAATCTTGCCCAAATATCAAATTATTCTACACAAGAAGCCATGCGTGCAGTTATTGCGATGAATTTACATCTTCGTGATGTACGACAACGTGCTTCTGTTTACGCCTCTTTCTTAATGGCATGTCGCCGACGGGAATTGGAGGTTCTCAGCCGACAGGAGGTGGAATCTAATGAAGCGAAACTTGTTCAACTCTTCTGTAAGGCGGATCCCATCAGTGCCGTCCGTGATGAGGTGATGCGTTTATTAAATCAACAGACAGAACCTAATGCACTCTTAACACACAATCCAGTTGCAGAAGCAGTGATGTGGCGTGCAATGCATTCTAGTTCTCAAGAAGAGTTTGTTGCTACTCTTCGTGAGGCACTTGAGGCGTGTGTTGCATTTTGGTTGGCGGAACCACATGCAGAGTTAGATGCTATAGCGGATGTCACTAGTGTTCTGCAACGTACGATTCTTCCCAACTTGCGGGGTCAAGAAAACGCAGTTGGTGATATGGAGTTAATTGAAGCACAATTCTGGATAACTTTTACACAAATTCGAATAACAGCCGATGATCACGCGCGCAGTACTGCCCAGCTTGATATAGCCTACGGTGGAAATGATAAAACTCTCGTATTTCAGCTAGCTCAGGAAGAAGCTGCATTATTGCGGGAATTACATGAATTAACTAAAGAAGCACTTGCCCACGGTGGTGGATTGGTTCATCGTTCTCGTTCCTGTATTACTGCCGTTACGTGGATTGTGCAGGTCTTTGCAGAGGAGGTAACACTCTCTGTGCGTCTGGCCGCCCCGGGAACAGATGTGACCTCAGAGCTTCTGCAGAATGTCTTGGCGATTGTTGAGCAGATGGAGTTGTTGGGATACATTGATCCCGCCCTGTTGCCGCAGGAGAGTGCCAAGCAGTTGTTTGATGCGGTGCGGGCCGTACGGGTGGCGTGTGGACAGAAGGCACACGACTTGTTGATAATGGAGGCGAAGAAAAGTACTGCAACCCACTGAAGCTAGCAGAGAGAGAGGGAATTGAGAGTGAGAGAAGGAAGAAAAAAAAAAGAAAAGGAAATGCGTGTTGTACGCACTATACTATATATATATACATAACTGAAAAAAAAAAAAAAAAACCAGAGAGAGATTTACTTCGTATGAACGATTGAGGAAAAAAAGAAAAAAAAAGAAAAGAGTGAGACATCCCGAGAGGATAATATACTGTTCTCTCTCTCTCTCTCCATATATATATATATATATTTGTGTGTATTTTTTTTTTCTTTATTTTTTTCCCCCTTTTTTTATCTATTTTTATTTCCTCTTTAGACTCTAATCAGTCTGACAGAATAATAATAACAAAAGAAAAGTAAAACGCATTCGACACGGCAAAAGTGGCACCTTTTCTTACCGCAGCTGCAGTAGCAGCTAACGGTGAAAAGATAACAACTACAACAACTAGATGATGATGATGACAGAAGACGCAGAGGCGCAAGTCATGCCGCCTCAATTGTATAAGGGTTCCAGTACTAAACTTTCTGAGCCTGTTGGGGAGAAAGAACCCTTTGCAGATGCGACTCAACAGTTAACTTCCATGACACTAAGGGAAGTGATTGATGTGCAAGAGGAGACGATAAGAGCCATTGATCGGGCAGAACGTGCGATGAATACTGCGGAGAACTTAGGCGGGAAGACTAAAGAGCAGTTGGCACAGGATACAGTCATAATTGAAGTAATAGATACTACATTGGCAGAGAATGAGTCCATGCTGCGTCGGGCTAAACGTGATATAAATTGGTTTCGTGTACAGTTGCAGAAAGATAAACTGTTCCTCTGTCTTTTTGTGGTTGCAGCTACACTTTCTGTGGCTGCTATTATAGTGGGCGTTGTCTACAAACGGAGGAGATAGAGGGCTGTTTGTAGATTTGAGGTTTTTTTTTTTTGTTTTTCTTTCTTTCTTTATCTCTATGTCATGTATAGATGAGTAAAGATGAATGTGTGGGTTGTATGTGTATGTGTGGGGGTGAGCGAAAACGATATTTAACTTGCCGTCAATGTCGTTCTTACCGTTTTATTTTATTCCTTCTGATGACCTTTGTTTGATTTTTATCCTTTTTTTTTTCTATTCTTCTTTCTATTCCTCTCGTTTCTGTTTTTTTTTCTTTCTTTTTTTTTCACTGTGTGTATGTCTATGTATTTTATTGCTTCTCGGAATATTTTATTCTTTCTCTCTCCCTCTCTCTCTTTTGTTGCGTTACTGTGTGAGTTTGGGCAGAGTGAAAAAAAAAAAAAAGTATTGGTAGTGGTAGTAATAGTGATTGTTCTCAGTGAAGAAGAAGAGTAAACAAACACCAAAACAAACAAACAAAGAAAAAATAAATAAATAAATAAATAAATAAAGGAAAATAAAAGGAAAAGGAAGAAAAGAAATAGTAGGAATGACAGAAGAGGGATTTGCTGAGGTGTTCGAGTTCCTGCACAGCAGTCGTGAGGATTTACGCAAGATGGCCGTACGGGGTATTGCACAGCAAAGTAAAGACAATGCCGAATTGTATCGATTTCTCTGTTCTCCGGCCCACGGTCCGAGGAGCATCGATGCACTTCTGCAGTTCCTCCACGCTGGTGGTGTTCAGGTGTTGGGGGATATCTTAACAATTCTCATCAACTGTTCTGCAGAGGGCGGCTGTGCAGAGATGCTCGTCACTCGTAAGATTGTGCGAAAAGCCATGCGGCTGCTCGACGGTATTGAGAGCTCCGATCACGAAGATGCACTCAAGCGCAGTCTGGAGGAAATGACACTCATGCTGTTGAGTAATTTGAGTGCCAGTCACATCAGTGCGGTAGATGATTTACTGCAGATGGCAGATGAGGATCTCCGCGGGTTTTATTTGGGAAAACTGCAGGTCTTCTACGACCGTTTTAACACAGACGCTGAAGGAGAAGAAGAAGGGAAACAACGCGATGAGGCGGAAGAGGAAAGAGAAGCCAAGCAGGAAACTGAAGGGAATGCAAATAAACCACCTGTGCGGGATTTACAACGATGGATTCTGCAGATTCTTCTTAACTTGACTCGCTCCACTAATGGACAGGAATTACTTATGGAGGATGAAGACTGGCGACGTTCACTCACACAGTGTCTGGGATCACCAAATGAAAGACACCGTATGCTTGCCGCGCAGTGTTACCGCAATTGTAGTCTTTGCAAAGAACAACACCCGGCGATATTGCGAGGGAACTGCGTGCGTGCGTGTTTGGAGCGGTTGTGTGATGGTAGTGAACGTGTGCCTGAAGTGGAGTTGCTGCTGGCGGAGGTGATAGCGGGAATGATGCAGTCAGAGGAGGGAATGTTGTTTCTGGAGGAAGTAAACACGAAAAAACATTTACAGTCCGCCATAGCAGGGAAAAAGGTACATGATGAAACAGCAGATTTTCTCTCTCGACATGTTCTTCCACTTCTTGATGATGTGGTGGATGCGTATGTGATTCCTGAACACGATAACATCGATTAAATTGAATGAATAAATGAATGAATGAATGAACGAATAATTTATTGAATGAACGAATGAGTGAATAAATGCATGCGTGAATGCTTTCATGGCTTATCATCGCGGATAAGGATCGTACGTCACGAGATTTAGACCTAATCTATTGCCTTGATTATAAAATGTATTTACTATTATTTAATTTTTTTTCTTTTTTTTTTTGTGCCATTCTTATGCTTCGTTCCCTTATTTTATGTTTATATCTTGTTTGTTTGTTTATTTATTTTGTTTATTAGAAAAATAAAAAAAAAGAATGAAATAATAATATTCACCTCTTTCTCTCTTTTTTTTTTCGTAATATCTTTTGTTATTTTTTTTTTTTCTTCTTGCGGTAGTCTCTAGCAAAGCAGAAGTTAGCTGACACAAGCGACGTAGAAATCTAAAGAAAGAAAGAAAGAAAGAAAAAGGTTACCCAAGGAAGAATAGATCAGCTCAGGAAGGAAAAATAAAAATAAGTAAACAAATACTTATAAATAGGAAGAACAACAAGAAAAAAGAAAAGAAAAAAAAAAAAAAAAACCAAAAACAAAAACAAAAGGAAATCCATCAGAAAAAAAAGAAAAAAGGAAAGAATATAAATTATGCTCCGCCGTCTCTCTTCCTCTGTTGGTGCCCGGCCCATGCTGCGGGGGGCCCGCTCCTACTTCTACCCCTGCCCCGGCGAGACGGGCATCAGCGGCGAGACGATGAAGACACTCCTCAAACTGACGGTCACCGCCATCACAATTGAGAGCATCGGCATGTGGTACATCATGTTCACCCGCTACAGCACCCGCTTCCAGTACGTCGAGGACAGCACAGACCTCTGGGAGGACGACGGCACCGTCATGGAGGGCGAGGAGGCAGTCGCCAACCTGCGTCTCCAGCGTGAGCGCATTATGCCGTTTATGAATGATATTAAGGAGAAGTTGGAGGCAGCGGGAGTGGACGCAGAGGCAGCATAAGTATTGGGATAAAGTAGCATGGGGGAGGGTTTGTTTTATTTTTATTTTTGTTTTATTTATTTATTTATTTTTGTTTAGTAGTTATGGTTCACGTACGCACATGTTTCTACTCTTGTTGTAGGCATATTATCAAATAATATGTTTTTTTTTTGTGTTTATGTGTATCCGTCTCGGACCTCTTTCTGTCTTTGCATGTCTATCTGAATCTTTTTATTCTTGTGGGAGAGAGAGAGAATGTGGACGTGTAGTTTGTTGCAGTGTTCGTCTCCCGCACAGCCACGTACGGCTAGTGGGTGTGTAGTAAAGATAACAGATGTGTAGTAGCATTGACAGAATCTGACCGTCGCTCTTTATAAGTCTTTTTTTTTTTTTGGAGTACTTATGGTGATTATGGGAATCAACAAAAAGAACGAAAGAAAAAAAAAAGAAATAAGGGTGGGAGTATATTATTTTTGGTTCTCCCTGTGTGTGTGTGTGTATTTCTTTTTGCGGATGAATAGGAGAAAAAAAGAAGACTTGACATCACAGACGAGAGTCCTTTTAGGCCGTAGATATAAATAGTATATAGGAGAGTACAAGGGAGGAAATCATTCTTGCTTTTTATGCCTGTTTGTGTGTCTCTCTATGTGTGTGTGTGTGTGGTATATATATATATATATGTGTGTGTGTATGTTTGTTCTTTCTCTGTTCTACAGAAGTTGGGAGAGGGAAGTGAGTATATTGGGTGAAATGCCTCTTTTTCACTCGCTCTCTCACTCTCTCTCTCTTTCTCTTTATTGTAATCTATTGTTCTTTTGAACACTTCACTTCATCTCACACACACACACACACTCTCTCTCTCTTTTTCTCTCCTCTTTTTTTTTTTTCTTTCTCAGACTCCAAATAGCAAGGGTGTAGGGGCAAACATCAGAGAGGGGAATCACAAGAAGGCGATGAGCTCCATCTTCTCAGAGCTCCGCCGCTCAGAGAGACTACTGCCGGTGGAAGACAACGCCTCATTTCAGCGCATCTCCTCTTGGCAGCCACTCTTTGTGGACCCCAAACAACAATCCGCACTCTACGAACATGTTACATTTTTTAGAAGCAATAAACAAAAGAACTCAAAGTGGATGCACACAGTGCGATCGTCTCGTGTATCGACACGTCAAGTTCCATTCATCTCTCTTGCAGTAACGAAACATAATACTAACACCAATGCCCATACCACTAGTAGTAGTAATAGTAATACTCGATCTGCTAAAACAATAGAGGAGGAAAAGACTGGAATAACAGGAACAATAATGGATGATAATAATGATTATGAAAATACTAATGACATGCCGCGATTACATGTATGCCATCAGCTTTTAGCGGCGTTAGCACCATATGAGACTCTTATGTGTCCTACACTTCTTTTCAGTCCTTTTAGACCATCGTTTGCCAAACGGATGTCACTAGTCGCAGCACAACTCTCTCTTCCGGCACATGAGGTGTTTCTCTTTGTCTCTATGATGTTAGTATACTTGGATGTAACACTCTCGATAACAGAACCAAAACCACTAAGCTTTCAGGAACTCACAGACACACTAAATGAACGGTTTATGGATGATTTTAAGACCTTAGGAGATAAAGAGGAAGATGATAAGAAAAAGAATGAAGATCCACGACAAAAATCATTTATTACATTATTACGAAGATCCATTGAGTTATGGAAAGAACGACGGGAAGCAACTGTGACGGCATTTTCACCATTAGGAACTCTTGCAACAGCACTCTGTTTGCGTGATATTCACGACACAACCTATCATGCATTTGTACCTTGCGCCCCTCGTGGGACTAAACGGTCTGAACACCCATTTAAACTTCCACCATTACCAGATGATGTCCTTGTTTCTCGATTTGTTCCAGCATGGGAGAATATTCTACATGCTGCACGTCGTGATGTTTCAGTATTGGCTACATTGCAACAACACTTATTAAAGCAATTACGAAATCCAGCAGATAGTCTCTCACACATGCAGCATCCTACAATGGGTGGTAATATCTTTACATCCCTCAACATCCTACCTCATAGCAAAGAGGAATTGGCAGATATTGTCTGCCGTCTCGGTTCCTCTCTTTGGTTTTCATCCGCTTTTGCAAAAAGTATAGTGCTATCCAAAGCACAACTGCAGTTTGTTTCCAAGACTATACAGGATGAATTTTTTGCGACATCACTGCGTTTACGTCACCGCGGTGTACAGGAGATGCGTGTGCGGCGTATGAACTTAACGGATCTCGCGTTAACCGTCATACAAGACGATGGACGAGAGGCGGAAGTGGGACGCCCTGCAGGGTTTGTAAAGGGACGTACAGCAATGGGTGATACTGGTGTAAACACAGATGATGTCTTTGACAAGAGTAGTGATAATAACAAAAGTAAAGGTAATTTGCCTTTGTGGGTGGTGGCGGAAAGTGGTCTTGATGTTTTTCAGACATTTGTACAACATTTACTCAAGAGTGGGAAACCCACCACTTCTCTGATGTTGACAGCATCTCAGACTAATGACAATAGTACCACCAACAAAGAAAAAGATGAAGAAGGAAAGAAAAATAAGATGGAGAAGAAGGAGGAACAGCAGTTTATTCTCTTAACACGCGCAGAGGAGGGAGTTCTACATCGTATCTTCCAAAGCCACCGGAATGCCCTGCAGCTCGCGGGTTGTGGTATTCAACAATTATTACTGCGAGTGGGGGATGGTCAAACATTTCTAAAGCGTGTCTGTGGTGCTCTCATTCCGTGGGATATTTGGGACTGTTACGATGAGGCCTCGCAGCGATCGCAACTTCGACGGCCTGTGCGCATTGTGATGGCCGATGCTCCACTGCCGCTGCCGGACGGTGTACTCCCAACACGAGTGACCCTGCGGGGCGTGCGTGGGATGGTCCAACACTACTGGAAGGCACTTCTCACGGAGAGACGCCGCACGGCATCTTCACGGCGTCCCGCCCTCACGAGCACCACACTTTTCCCGATTGATAAGTTGGTCGCGTTGTATGTACTCCGACACCATCCACAGTACTACACACGAATGCGGGGATGCGGTATTGTGGAGGTGTGCGTGCAACAGAAACGATGTCAAACAGGCAGTAGAACACAGTTTGCAACTCTAGGAGGTGAGGGGGAAACAACAACAACATCCACAGCAACAACAACAGGAAGAGGAAGAGGAAGAAAAGAAGAAATAGAAGAAGAAGATGATGAAAGTGGAATGATGATGGGAACCACTTGTGAGTATGCACCTACGCTTGCTATTATACATCCCTGTGGTGGTGTGACGGTCTTTGCATATGAGGATTGTTTCACTCCCGTTACAGGCACACTGAACCGACCACAATTACTCGATGATGGCAATGAGACAATAGACACAACTTGGTGCTCGTCAGCACCCTCGCGGAAACGTGCCCACTCACCGTGAGTGAGAAGAGAAATTAATAATATTTCTTTCTCTCTTTGTTTGTTTGTTTGTTTGCGTGTTGATACTAGTGGTGGTGGATCGTTACATTATAATGGCACAGCATTCCAACCAACAGGGCTAGGGATGACAACGTGTACTGTCAAGGCAGATGAAAATAATATAAAAAAAAGATGAAGGAAGGGAAACGCAAAAAAAAAAGAAAAACAAAATAACATCGAATTGCACCACCACACATAACTGGATACTGTTTGGTATCATTTCACAAGAATATAAAATCAAAAGAAACAAAAACGAACATAGTTTTGCTATTACTGGGTAGTACTACTACTGCTTTCCGACGTCTTTCTCTCTCAGTGTGTGTGTGTGTGTGGGCGCATGGGCTCTATTAAAAAAAAAAAAACTCAAACGGGATATTCTTTATTTCCCCTTTTTTTATGCTTTGGAGTATCTCTTTCATAGTTACCGTTGTTCTCTCGCCCCTTCACTGCATTGAATAACATCAAAAAAAAAAAAAAAAACAGAGCATGTGACCCACTAGAAAAGGGTGTTGAAAGAACGAGATCCAGAATAGGGGCCTAAATAGACCACGGATAAGAAAAACGAAAAAAAAAAGAAAAACAAACAAGCCAATCGAGAGAATTCAACTAGATGGTACAATTAGGTTGGAGGAGGTCTTGTGGCTTTCCAAACCTGCATGATATTTTCGTACCAGAAAGACTATTTCTACTGTTTTTATTTCTTTTGATATTCGTGGCTACCGGTAGTTTTCTCTTCACAGAGTCAGGGAAACAGCATCAATAACCACCACCGCCATAACAACAACAACAACAGCTGTTGAGTCTTCCCCCCAGTTTTAAAGAAACTTCTATTGCGACCAAGCAGAAGAAACAATAGTAACAAGAGAAAGAGAAGCAACTCTGCGGATGAGAGACGATGGATGTAATTGACGTTGACATTTCAACGTTGTACGGTATTTTACATGCCATGGTGTGGCGCTACACTTTACAGTATCATATCCTTCTCTTCGGTCTAGTTCTGGATAACGCAATAGGAAAGATGTTTATTCTGTATATATCGTACGTACTTACTTGGGTGGAGACTACCGACGTATGCAATGAATAATAATAGATTGCTATTCACAATATAACCACAGAGATGTATGGGTTTAGAACTTGGCGGGAGATGTAAACAGTTTGTTGTAATTATTTTCAATCATACTTGGAACGTTGAAAGAGGTATATATATATATATTTCTTTCCTGGGTCCAACGCTTTTTCAGATAACTGGTGCGTACAAGCTCTGTAACTAACACAGAGGCTGATTTTCACAGAGACTGCAAAAAGAAGAAAAAAAAAACTTCTGGAGCCTATGAGGATTAAATACCTTAAATTCCCACAAATTTTTATAGCTGCAAGACGGGGGGAAAAATTGCATTTGATGAACAACATTCGGGTTTGTTACCATTAACATGGCGTCTTTTCACATATGCTGGTGTAAACCTATTTTAATAGATTCTCTCTGGAAACTTGATCGTCTTTTCACCACTTTTTTATTTGTTTTCACCTTTCTCTTCCTCTCTTGTATTATTATATTGCTCTGTTCACGTCATTTTTGTTTGTTTGTTTGTTTGTTTTTGTTTTTGTGTAGCAGTGATGATAATTTTCTTTGGATATCATTATTTTTATTTTTTCTTTGTATCTTCCTTTTTTTTTCTTCTTTTCCATATAGGTGTGGGGGTGTTTTTTTTTTTTTTTATTGTTCCTTATATTGAGGAATTGGAAAGTCGATAGTCAACAACAACAACAACAAAAATAACAAAAGTGTAGTGGCAAGAATACAGATAAACAAGACGAAATTGGGTAACGTATCAGAAAAAAAAAAAAAAGAGTTGAACAAAAAAGGAAAGGAAGAAAAAAAAGAGAAGCTGAGAGTACGCGAGTGAAAGGGCGTTCACTTGTTTTTTTTTTCTCTCTCTCTCTCTCTCTCTCTTTGTCAGTGTGTGTGTGAGTGCTTTATTGTGGGTAATTGTAGAGAGTTAGAATGCGATACACTCGTCCTCATGTGATTGAGATACCAAATAGCTGTTGGCTCCCCCGTCGTCTTCTGCTGGTACGCCACGGTGAGTCCGAGGCAAATGTGGATCGCACACTCTACGGCCGTGTGCCGGATTGGAAGATTCCACTCACCACCCGCGGCCGCGCCCAGGCATTTGACTGCGGCCGCCGTCTGCGCAATATCATCAAGAACGAGAAGGTGTACATTTACCACTCTCCATATATTCGCGCCCGCCAGACGTTAGTGGAGGTGCGAAAGAGCCTTGGCCCATCGCAGATACAGGGCGAGCGTGAGGACGAGCGACTGCGAGAACAGGAAATGGGCAACTTTCAGCCAGTAGACCAGATGGATAAGACCTGGGGGGAGCGTAGTGAATTTGGCCGCTCCTACTATCGATTCCCCGGTGGAGAGAGTAGTGCCGATGTTGGTGATCGCTTGTCCACTTTCTTTGATTCCCTTTTCCGTGAGCGGCTTGAGCTGGATTCAATAGAGGCGAGGAGACGCGACGACAGTTCTGTACCACACACCCTACATGGGGAAGATGATCATAATGTAGTTATCATATCACATGGATTGCTCATTCGACTATTCATTGCTCGTTGGTTTCGCGTACCAATGGAGGTGTTTGAGACGATGCGAAATCCACCCAACAGCGCTATTGTGGTATTAGAACGACGTGACTCTGGCCGTATGGTGATGACCGATATTAGTAAAAAACTCTTTGGGAGTGACCCTTTGTTAGAATCAATGAAATTCGACGGTAAAGATAACTCTAAACTGTATCGTCGTTTGTTTGCTGACCTTCCAGGTCATGGAACTCTTCCAAGCGATGAATAAAACTGTTTTCCTTTTTGCCCCTGCGATTTTTTTTTTTTTTTTTTTTAGCTGGTATCAGGAGGATCTGAGCGGGGCAAGCGTTGGTTTTAGTGAGAAAAGGGGTGAAGGATTGCCATTCCATTTCATCCTATCTGTTTTTTTTTTTCTTTAGCTTGCTCTTCCTCTCTGTGTGTGTCTGTGTATTTGTGTTTGCTTCTGAGGCGGAGGCGGGTTTTCTTACGGATACTTGAGAGAAGAAATATTGCAAATAGAAAAAAAGAAAAAAAAAGAGAGAGATGTTTCGTTGGACTCTACAGCTTGCCTGCAGGAATAAGAAACTAAAAGATGTGGGTGGTATACTGGCTGGAGAGGGAAGTACAAAACGAACAGATGCAACTGATGTTTTCGCGAGCGCATCATCTTCTGTAGATTTAGAGAATGCGGCGATTGTCACGCATACAGAGCGTGATAACAACGGCAAGATGTCTATTACTATTCGCAGTGGCGGTAGTCGCCGAGCACCAAAGATTCCAACACAGACTGCTGAGCCGGTGAAGCGTATAATGTTTGTGCGCAGCGGTAAGAGTCTGGCAAATGTGGATATAGGTACATACGTGACAACGCCGGATTGGCGTATTCCAATAGTGCAGGAGGGTGTAGAGGAGAGTTACCGTGCTGGACGGCGTGTAGCGGAGATTGTGGGAAATGAGCCTGTATATTATTACTTCTCACCATACCTGCGGTGCCGACAGAGTTTTAAGCATCTCCTGCGCGGCTTTGATGATTATAGGACAGAGAATCAAATGGAGGGAGAACATATTGTTGGGGTACGGGAGGATGTACGACTTCGTGATGGGGATATTGGTCGATATAAGACACGGGAGGAGGTCTTACAACACCTGCAGGAACGAGAGGTGTATGGAAAGTTTTATTATCGTTTTCCACACGGTGAGAGTGGCGCGGATGTCTGTGATCGCGTTACGAGTTTTCTTGACGCCTTTCAACGAGAGCGTCTTGATTTCCCAATGGACACCAATGTTGTCATTGTTACTCATGGTCAAACCATACGTATGTTTGTGAAGCGGTGGTTTCATCTCACGGTGGATACATATCATTCAATGGTATCACCACCAACAGGGTCTATAAGTACACTAACACGGATGCATCATCGCAGTTGTTTCCGTTTAGATAATCAATGCGTGGAATTGATGGAATTACCGTTATCATTAAATGAATACAATGGGTATAAGTACCGCAACAAACAATTGTTGGGGTCAATGAGTACTGGAGCTCCTTTCATGTAGGTATTATTTGGGATCAATTTCTTTTTTTGTTTTCCATCCTCATTATATATATATATATATATATATATATCTTTTTTTTTGTGTTTCTTCTTCTTTTTCTCCATCTTTATTATTATCATACACTAGCTTGTGTCTTATTTCCTTTCTTTTCTCTTTACTGGGTGTATTCAGTGATATATGAGGTGGTATCAGTGTGATACACTATTATCATCATTATCATCAATTTATCCCTTTCCTTTATCATTTTTTTTTTTTTTTTTTATAAAGCGAGAGAGAATTATGAAATCGGTGAACGTGATGATTGCATGCATTAAGTTTCAAAAAAAAAAATTATAATTTTTTTTTTTTTCTTTTTTGGGGATCGGTTTATTGTTGCGCTCGTATTTCGGGGGTTTGGCTCTTTTGTGCCTCTCTCTCTCTCTCCAACCACACCAAAATACATTTTATCGCAGGGTGGGGGGCATTCATTGTACCTTTCCTTAGGCATATATATATATATATATATATATAGTAGAAGTAGTACTGTTGGTATCAACTGAGGGTAGTGTATTACCTTCTCTCTTGAAACAATTTCTTTTTTTTCTCTTTCTACTCTTTTTTCTCTTTATTTACATTTACTTTTCTGGATACTCTTTACATTTCTGGGGAAAAAGAAGTGTGGATAATGACTCGCTGTGTGGTGTGTGAGAAGGAGTCATCCCGCTACCGTTGTCGTCTGTGCCGTAGTGCCTACTGTTCTGCGGCTTGCAGCAAGGCACACCGCAATCTGGAGAGACCCGACTGCTGCGTGGGACTCCAGCAGCTGCAGAGGGAAGAAGAAGAAGAGGAACAGAAAGATAAACAAGTTTCGCAGTTCCAACAACAACAAGAAGAAGAAGGACAAGAACGACAACAACAACATCAGGAGAGTGGTACAGTTACTCATGCCCCATGCAGTGAGGGATCAGGTGTAAAGCGAACACGCGCTGCTGTTTCGAGTTCCATATATGGGGAGAAGGACGGAGACGGTAATCTCGTCATTCTCGGCGAGGCGCACTTGTCGGCGTTGGCCAACGATGTTAACATTCGCAAGAAACTTCGAACGGAAGAACTGCAGCGGTTGTTGCGTGTTATTGTCTCAAGCCGTTCGTCCATCGATGCATTGGAGGCGGCGATGGCAAACACACCGGAGTTCTTGCAGTTCTGCCACGAGGTGCTGGGTGTTGTGTCTACTACGGAGAGAAATCTAGGCGTGCGGAATCTCTGAGCTTTTGTGTTTTGCTTTTTTTTTTTTTCTATATTTCTCTTTCTTTATTGATGTTTGTTTGTGTGTAAGAGAGAGAAAGAGAGAGAGAAGGAGGGCTTGAGTGGTGTTTGAGAAAAAAAAAAAAAACGGGGATAAGGTGTTGACTCTTGTATGAGTCACATGTCCCTGTGTTTACATTTTGTATTTTACTCCTCTGTGGTCTATCATTTGTGGGAAGCATGAATGCTCACACTTATTGGAAAAAAAAAAACAAAAAGAAACAAACAAACAAGAAAAATTCTCTCTTTTTTCCCATTGTTTTTTTTTTTTTTCCTTTCTTTGGTGCTATATTAAAAGGGGCTAAGAGAAAAAAGACTATATAGTTTCTTGCTTTACCACAACCATTGCGTAGAAGCGAAGGAGCTCCCACCACCCCCGAAGAAGAAAAGAAAAAGAAAACAAAAAGCGTATATTAATTTGTACGAGGTTACTTTGCAGCCGCAGCAAAAACTCGCGGGTGTAGAATTACAGTTTAAACAATTAGATCAAAGGGGAAGAAAGGGGTTTATCAATACGAGCCACAGTGGGAGCACAAAAAGAAAAAAAAAAATAAATAAATCACTTTGTATTGTATACATACGTGTATTTTATCATAATATCTATCTATCTCTCTGGTAAGTAGTTGGTTGAGTGGTGTATAAAAAAAAAAAGTGGATAGAAATGTTTTTTCGTGAGAATGATAGCAGTTCAGATTCCTCTGTGGACCCAGATGAGGTTTCTTCTAGCGGAGGAAGCCTAGCGAGTTCCGAGTCTTATGCCACTCGTGCCTTTGAGAAAAGGATGAGGTTTTTACTGGCTGAAAGTCCTATTGCAGATACTGATTTTCAGGATGGGACTACCTTACCGAATGGTCCAGAGTATTCAACAGATGATGCTATCAGAATTAAAGAAAAAGACATGGTATGTGGTGTTGATGCTGTGGAAGGTGAGGAACAGGTATCATGTATTAATTGTAATGATGGGGCCGATTGGGCATTGCTAATGCGCAAACTAGATAGTGTGGTAGATAGTGAACCAGAGTTTTACGAATATCCATCGCCTGATTCTCTCAAGACATGTTCATCACAACAAACTGCGGGAGGTGAGGCGCCAAGTGGTGATAGCAGCATCACATCTACACATGGGCATCATCATGGAACAAAGATGTTCATTGGTGGTCTCCGCTTTGAGGTAGTACAGTCTGGTAGACAAATGATTAGTTGGATCTTTGAGGTGGCTTGCGGTGTGCGGTTGCCGCCAAATTCTATTCTAGTACACCGAAGGGCAAAAGGAGGAAGGAGTGGTTCACCAACAGGATGCGCTTCTGTATTTGTGGCAAATGAACAGGATGTAGAGAAACTTTTGAGTATGAATCAACGTATATTCTGCGGTGAAAAAGGTATTTACGTGGCTTCATCCGTAGAGCACATGACAGGACTTATTGCTTCAAAAGTTGTTCTTAACGTTTCAGATGGACGCATACGTGGTCCTACACATCCAGTGGTTATTGAACGAGCATACGGCTCCGCTGGAAATCCTGCATCACGTAATAGTATCACTGGTACACCAAATAAGGAACATACTCCATCTGGCCTACCCCCACCATATGAGACTGCTACCTCATTAAATTCAGTTCCAGGAGCTTCACCTCTGCAATTGAGCAGTAATGCTTCATCATTACCAAGTAGTATGTCTATTTCTGTGGGTTTAAATGTTGCATCAACTGGTGATGGAGCCACTACTTCTACTACTACTACTGCTGCTGCTCCCACAGGTGATAATGTTCTTCTTAAACCTACCAAGAAAGTTCCTTATAACCAATACCCAGGTGATATAACTGCGAGTCAATCATTGCAACATATATCAATAGATTTAAAGCGACCTGTTGCTCTTTTTGTCGGTGGTTTTCCTGGAGAAGCAAATCGTGAGTTTATCGCATGGGTTTTTTCTCTCCTTCGCGTTCCTGTTCATCCTACGAACATTACCCTCTATGTGGATTCCCAATCCGGTGAAAAGGGAGGTTGTGCATATGTGCGGGTGGAGGAGAGCGATGTCGCCAAGGCCACCGCCTGGTCCAAACGGGTCCTCTGCGACCCGCACGGGGTGTACTTCGCCGAGTCCCCGCGGGTGCTTCCCGCGTTGTTGGCGGCCCGCGACAAAACCGCCCCGCCGGCGCGGCCGCTCATCATCAAACGAAAAGACACCGGCCGTGGGGTGCCGCGATCAACGGCGTTGCCGATGGGTCCACCACCGCCCTTCCCAGGCACATGGGACCCCACACAACCTCAACAGGTGTTGGGATGGCAGCCCGCCGCACCGGCACGGCCACCGCCGCCACCGTACATGCAAAGTGTCATTATCGGCAATCAAACATATCAGGTGCCGGTGGGGGCGAGTATTCAGCTCCAGCTCGTGCCCGTCATCACAGCACCAGGGATGGCCCCAACGGCGATGCCCATTCAGGCAGCACCGGCGGCAGCGGCCCCACCACCACCACCGCCACCGCCTATGTATCAGCCAATGCCACCACCACCACCACCACCACCATCACTTCGATGAGGAAAGAAGGGAAGATTTGAAAAATAAGAAGAGAGAAATAAGAGCAAAAATAAAGAATAAGTGTAAAAATAAAATAAAAAAAAAAATAATAATTGTGATGATGATGATGATGATGATGATGAAGTGAATATTAATAGTAGACGAAGACATGAACAACGACCTTGCACTGTACGAGGGAGGGGGTTATGAGATGGAGAACATTCCCTCGTTGGCGAAACTTGTGTAAATATATATTTGTGTGTGCTTTTAGTCTGTATTGTTCTTACGCGTTATATTCACTAAAAGAAGTACTGCCATTTGGATCCAAATGTCAAAGAGAGAGAGAGAGAAGTGATAAAATAAAATAAAAAATAACACAAGAAAAATAAAAAGATAATTGCTCGTTGCGAAAAAAAAATTTGTAACCGAAAGTAAAAAAATAAGACATACCCACAAGGGTATGCATATGACCACACGTGGTAATGGTAATAGTAATTGTAATAAGAAGAATACTAATAATCATATTAACAATAGAAAGCATCAACTTCCAGTACTATTTTGCTTTCTTCTTTCATTTTTAATATCACACCCCATTTTTTTTTTTTTCTGTTTTGTCGAGGTGCCATCTTTTTTTTTTTTTTTTTTTTCAGATTCTTCGTTTCTCTTTTATAGTGTATATGCGTACATATCTGTCTCTCTCTCTCTCTCTTTTTTTTTTTGTTTATCTGTGAATCTGTGTGAGATCTTATGGTGTTGTATATGGCTTTGAGCTTTGACTATGTTTTTGTGCTTGTTTTTTTATTCAATTCACTGCATAATTTTATGTAGTTTCCGTACACTTATGCTTTGCTTCTTGTCATTTCAGCGTGTGTTAATGGCAACAGGGTGACAACAGAAGAAGTCAAGTAAAAGAAGGCAATAAGAATAATTGGCAATGATACAAAGTAGGGGTAATAAAAAAATGGTAAAAGAAGAAAGTATCAAGAAGGGCAAAGGAAAACAACAACAAAAAAAAAAGAATATGTATGGGTGAGCAAATAGATAAAGCCAACACTAAATGATAACAATGATGGTAATAACAATAGTAATTAACGGAATACACAGGTATTTGGACGCACAAAGGAAGAAGGAAAGGTAAAAAAAAAAAAAGAGTGAGAGAAAGAGAAGAAGAAATGTGTGTCCCTATACATCTGCTTTTTTTGTCTGTTGAAAAAAAAAAAAAACTTTTACTTTTCCTATATGGGGAAGATGTGCCGGAGAGTGTAAACCCGTTTCAACTTTACACCTCCCTTTTTTGACATCTATATCTATATATCTATATATATATCTATATGTTTGTTTTGGTTTTCTTAATATATTCCTTTCCTTTTCTCACTCTTTGGAAAGAGGCCAAAAATAATTAATTGAGTAAAGAGAAAAAAACAATGACAGCAAAGAAAACAGTAAATTTTATAAAGAAAAATTGGTAACAACTGTATAATTGACAAAAGGAAACGAATGTGAAGCCTAAGAAAAAAAAAAAAATAAACTGGTAAAAGGTGCGAAGAATGTGAGGAAAAAGATTTTTCCTCCCGTTAATGACTGAAGGAAAAACTTCTGCAAAACAAAAAAGTGATGGTAGAATAATGTGTTATTGACTGATAAAAGAATAAAATGAATTTTCTGGAGTTGAGTTTCTGTTTCACTTCTGTTTTACCTATGTTTTTTTTTTCCTTTTTCTTCCTAGGAGAGGTTTTTTTCTTTCTGTAATTGTGACTCACCTGTATATACATATCGATTGTATTGAGAGAAAGAAAGTCAACCTATCTATTGTATTTAACTCTTTCTTTATATCTCTACTTTTGCTTTAATATGAAAAACTTTTCTTTTTTTTTTACTTCTTCTTTTCATTTTATTCTGGTGGTGCGGGTGCTTAGAAGAGGGGCCGGTAAGTGAAGAATATATAATAGAAGTAACAGTATCCTAGGGGGAGGATTTGCAGGGAACTGCAAGAGAAAGATAACGAAAGAAAGAAGGAAAAAAAAAGGAAAACGCTAGACAAAAAAAAAAAAAAAAAACAAAAGAGAGAAGAAGAAAAAGAAGTAGAAGAATCAACGCGGAAATAAAAAAAGAAAAGAAAAAAAATAAGAACACAAGTCGAATAGGAATGAGTATAGAGGTTCACGTGCGTATTCGACCACATGTCTCCAATAGCGTCTGGTCAAGTGCGGAGACGGTGTTGTACAGCACACACAATCCCAACACACGTTATGTGTACAACAAAGTGCATCATATTGGCACCTCAAATCAAACTATTTTTCAAGGCATCGAAGCTCTTGTGCACGCTGGGTTTGATGGCAAGAATGTTACTGTGATGGCATACGGACAGACAGGAAGTGGCAAAACTCACAGTATGAATGGTAATGAATCTGATCTAGGTATTGTACCACGTACAGCAAAGTTGTTACTAGATTTACGTAAGAACTTTCCCGGAACACAAATTGTAATGTACTTTACGGAAATCTATAATGAGTCGGTGAAGGATCTTCTTGAACCACAACGAGGGGAACTTGCACTACACGACGCCCCTGATGGAGGTGTTTTATTTGACAAGAAGTCTGTACCTATTGAAACTATGAATGACTTTGCCAAATTACAGAGTATTGCAGAGCGAAATCGAAAATATGGTGTTACAAATTTAAATGATCACAGTAGTCGATCTCATATGATTCTTACCTTTGAAATACACAGGGGCAGTCGACAAGTGAGTACAATCAATCTAGTTGATCTTGCCGGTTCTGAGTCTGCTTCACGTGCCAATACGGAGGGATTATCATTACGTGAGGGTGGTTTTATTAACAAGAGTTTACTTACACTTGGTAATGTGGTGGATGCGATTGTAGAGAAGAGAACGTATGTTCCCTACCGTGATGCTAAACTGACCCGTATTCTGCGTAATTGCCTTGGTGGTTCTGGAATGACCTTTATTCTCTGCTGTATCCATCCTGGCCAGGAGAACTTTGAGCAGACAGTTTCCAGTCTTCGTTTCACACAGCGTGCGATGCGAATAAAGAACGACCCTGTGATGCTGCTGAATATGCCTCCTCTCTTTACGCATGAGTACAGCCATGGCGCTGCCGATCTTGTGCGTGGGATTCGCGGTCTGTGTGGGTCGCACTACCAGCGCGGCCTGCGGGAGGCGTTCCTCTACGCCGGCGGCACTCTCTCCGCTGCCGTCTCGCAGCACGCGGGCGAAGTCTCCGGGGCGCTGCAGGCGATGGCGACCGCCCAGCGGCTCCTCCTCGCCCACGACCACGCGGTGGCGGGGGAGCGGCTCGCCGGGGGCCACGCGCGGCTCGCGGAGGGGCGGCGGCGGCGGACGGCAGCGGGAGCGGCAGCGGCGGGGGCGCGGCGGAGGGGACGAGAGGCGGCCGCAGCAGCGGAGGAGCGAAAAGCGAAGGTGGCGAAACTCGAAGCGGCCGCCGCAGAGGCCGGAGCGGTCGCAGATACCGCACTTGCAGGGTGGGAGTATCAACTCTACGAGGCGAGACAACGCCGTATTGCACCAGCAGTCACACTGAGGGCGGCAGAGGCAGCAGCGAGGCAGCGGTTGCAGTATGAATGGGCCGTCTGCGTGGAGCGCATCGCCGCAAGATGTGTGCCAGCCATAAAAGCACTCGGACCTATTACACATCCTGTGGCGGACAAACATGCCGTACTGGCGCAGATGCGGCAACGACTGCAAAAAGCACGTAGTGAACTTGCTGACCTTACTGTAGCTCACGATATGATTAAGGCAGATCTCCCAGAGATGCGTCGTGCGGTGGCGGCAGCAGAGGGCAGCCCGGCACCATGTCCAACTCCATCCGCTGCATCCCTTTCCCCACAGCCACGTCCTATCGCTGGTGCCATTGAAGCAGATGCAACCGATACAGAGATAGATAACCGTATTCATGAATTGGAGCGGGAGGAAAAGATTCTCATGTCACGGGCAATGTGTGCAGCCAGACGGGAAAGTACGCGACGTATTCGGGAATCCCTTAGGGAACCAGGTCCCCAAACACCTCCCACAACGCGTTCTGCAGTTCGTCATCATGACTCATCTCCACAGTCATTATCACAACAACATCATGAACAAGAACAATCTAAACATCAGGCTCGGGGAATGTATACTGGGGTAGTAGACACTTCCCCAACGAATGCACGTGGTGGTACGGGTTGTTACTCAAGTCCGCTACCACAACGGAGCCCAACACCACGTACAGCACGCACTGTATTCCCTACAGCAGATATGAGTCCTGAAGCGGAGTCATTGATACCCTCTGATCTGAAAGGGGCATCCCCACGTGATGAGCAGTTTACGGATGGAGTGCGCAGGGCCTTGGGTGTTTTGCGTGATGTGCGGACCAAATTGATGCGTCCTGTGCAAGAGCGACATCGACGGGCTGCCCATAGACCATCTGCAGCCCCCTCCCCCACACCAGAGACAGCACGCTCAGGTTCACGTCGTTGCCGCCGCACGGAATCCCACACCCCACAGGATGATGATGTAACCTTGGTGGATCTGTACATGCGGAAGGGTAATAATTTGAAGGAGGAGGAACCAATTATTGGTATCGCCGCACGGAGGCGTAGAGAAGGGGCACCAGTGCGACCAAACGTAGAACGTGCACTATGGCGTCTGTCGCTCTCACCAGCCACCCTTTCAATAGAACCAACAGAGCGTAGTCGTTCTCGTCGTCGCTGAGTGGAATATTTTTGATGCTACTTTGTTTTGCATTTTTGGTTTCTTTTTTTTTTTTTCTTTTATTCTTGTCAAGTTTCTGATTCTGCTCCCGGCATGTTTCCTTTTCTTGAGTAATTAGACCAAGATACGATATATTTTTTTTTTTGACGTTTTTTATGTTAAAAAATAACGTCATCTATTACCTGGAAATATTCTGCATGCCTAAGGACTGAAGTTGGAGGTAGACCGAACAATGTGTGTTTTTCTTTTCTTTTTTTTTTACTTACTTATAATGTGTTTCCCCTCAACCTTTATTTTATTACCCCTTCTTATTAGATACAAGAGAGAGAGAGAGAATGAGGAAGAGAGAAAATAAAGATCAGTGCAAGAGGATACACTTCTTCTCTGATTTATTTTCATCTTTATCATGTCTTTTTTTTCACCTACAATTAGATGCATTCCCTTCTTTTCCCACTTTATACGTATGTATGTTCTTCTTTATGTGTGAATACGTCTTTATTTTGTGTGTCACGATACCAGTATAAGCAAAGTGAAAAAACATGAAGAGCATATGAAATAAGATCTGAGTGGTGGGGCAATAGAGAGAGAATAAAAGAGAAAAAACATGTCTTTCCGGAGTTGAAACGGAGACACAGTAGAAATTTCCCTATGATTCTTTTGTCAATAATTGTTTATTTTTGTTATATGCTTCCTCTTCCTCCTTTTTTTTTTTTTTTCTTCTTGTTTAATACTATACTGTTGTTGTGTGGTATTTCCTCACGAAACCTCCTGAAAGTTAATAGTAACAACAAATAAAAACAACCACCCCAAAAGGGAGGGGGTAAATAGAACTCATATCAAAACAAAACAAGAAGATAAGAGAGTCGTCAAAGCAAAGTAAAAGGGAGAGAGAAAGAGAGAGTTCTACGGTATTCCCGAGGTCAAGGAAAATACTGTGGAACGAGACAAAGCAAACAAACGAGTACGTATATTGGTGCGAGTGAGAGAAATAGAGGGATAAGAGAATTATTATCAACAAGACATTATTTCCTTACTTCAGAAGCAAGAAGAAGAAAAAGAAAGAAAAAGAAACAAAAAATAGGTAAATAAAGGAAGTATCACATATGCCTCAAAAAAGAAGGAATAGTGTGAAAACAACGGTGGAAAAGTTCATACGGAGTGTAAATGTTGCACCTGACTGCCAAGTTGAGGCCTACTTGTTGAATGCTGATCGTGAACTGATAGAGAAGTTGGGGCATGATGTCCGTATAGTAGAAATTAATGGGGATATCGTGACCGATAGTGGTGAACTTCGTGAATACTTGCTTTCTCACGATGGCAATACAGAAGTTAATGTGGTATATGAACATATAGATGAACCCTCAGACTGTGTGAATATTGCAAACAGTGTGAATTATGATGGTAAACCTAGTATGATTGCCCCACAACCATCCTCTGATGTTGTTGTGGGAAATATTATGGAAGAAGAACCGTTGCCAATTCGACGACACCGATCACCTCATCAAACCCCTATGTTTCAGAGATCTCCTGTTTTGTCGTCGCATTTGAGTGTAGGGGCCAGTCCTGGACAGGAAACCGCAAAATCGTATGGTGATGATGAAACTATATCAGTAGCTTCATCCAGTGAATTTTTATCAAATGTAGCTGACCGTGGATTACAAGAGACTGGAACGGATGCACGTTATTTACCCAAGGGAACTACACCACCTTTGCTAGAGTTTGAAAAGATACCTACCCCTATACAGACGGATGACATATTTCGTTCTAGTGGAGCACGACTATCGGAACCCTCTTGTAATAGCACACTACGGCAACGTTTTATGCGTGCTATAGATTCTGTCGCTGTTGGTGCATGTATTATTTGCGTCTGCCAAGATGTAAATCCAATTGCTGAGATTGAATTGATTGCTATGACAATGCAAGCTCCATTGGTGACTATAAATCTTGGTGTTAAACTGCGCCAAAGACCAAAACCAGAGGTTTTTGCCGAAAAGTTTAAGTCTGCCATGCATGGAGGGGTTTGGTTTGTCGTCTTGAATGCACATAAGTCTATTGGTACTTGTCGTGTGCTTGAAGAACTTTTAAAGGATGCTGAATCTCGTAATTATGAAGGGTTTAACCCTGCTTCAAGAATTATTATCTGTTTGGAACCACATCCACATTTTCCACGTTTTCTTATAAAAAGAGCAGAGGTATTAAAGGTACAATGTGCGATATCATCATTATCATCAGCATCACAGTCATCATTTTCCCTTGCAACGTCAGTCTCTCGGAATCGACTTGTAACGGCGGAATCGTGGTGTTCACGGCGGAGTTCTAATCTTAGCATGGGTGGATTTTCTTCTTTAAGTGCTGGTGGTGGAACCCCTATTGCTGGCGATAAGAAACGTAAGGTACGCATTAATGCCACTGTGGATGTAGTAGACATTGCCCCACGTGAGGTTGTTGCCCCTCCGCGTGAGCGATCTTTTCATGTCAGTGGTAGTGTCGCACTTCGAACTGCCTTTGCTGGTATAGCTGGTGATAAATTTCTTTGTGTGGCCTCTGCTGGTGAAAAGGGACGATTTGCCGTGGGATCATCCATGGGAAATGTTTACTTTGTGGATGAACTTGGAAATTCCCTCATGCAAGCCCATGCCCATGATACCTCTATATGGGATCTCAGCTTTAGTGATAAGTTCCACTTTGCCACCGGCTGCGAGGATGGCAGTTGTATTGAGTGGTCCTTTGACTCTGGCGGCACAGATAGTGCCGTTCTTGTTCCAACCACATTAACATCACTCGGTAGTGATGCCTACAGTGTTACTTATGTGTATGGCTCTAAACCATCTCCGCTGCTTATTGGTGGATTAAGTCACACACTCTTACTGAGATCCACAGATGGAACGGCGAATAATATAGAAATCTCATCTAATGCACAAGTAATGGATACATTCCCAAGTGGTCCAGTGGTGCTTGTGGGGGGAAGTGATGGTTCTGTAACGGCCATTGATACAATGACAGCGACAGCTCTAACAAGATTTAAGGAACATGCAAGGAAATTACCAGCACTTACAATACGCAATAATAACCACTTCTTCACAGGCTCTTTTGACAGTAAGATTCTTTCTTGGGATTATCGAGCCCCACAGCAGATAACAGGGGAAGTAAACGTTGGTAATACACCCACAGCATCACCTATGCATACACTTAAACTGAAAAACTACGTTACTGGGCTTCACGTGGATGATGTTCATTTGGCAGCAAGTGTTGGTGAGAACTTATATTTGTGGGATGTACGCAAACTAAGTGAGGTACTGGGCGGTTATCCACAAGCCTGGAAAGGACTCACACGCGGCTTACAAGTAAGCAGTGCTGCTCAATGCGTAGTGACCGCCTCGCAGGATGGCCATGTACGTTTCTGGAGTTTTGTGTAGAGTAAAAGGATCCAAAGGAAATAAAATAAATAAATAAATAAATAAATAAATAAAAAACACAACAACAACAACAAAAATGAAAATAATAAAGATTAGAACTGTGGTGTGTATGTGTGTGGGGTGGCGATGACTGCGCGTGCGGGTGTGTACCCATGTGTACTAGTTTGGCTGCAGAGATGATTCTTCATAAGCGAGAAGGACACATAAACACCACCATCATCATCATCATTACATTCGGTTCTTATTCATGCAATGTGTGGTAATAGTGAGAGGAGAAGAAGGCCAAACGTAAAAAAAAAAGAAAAAATAAACAAAACAGAAAAGCAAAAAAAAAAACAAACAAATAAAAAAAACACACACCAAAAACAGCAATAACAGAAAATCTATAGTAATTGTATTAACAATGGCAGAAAAAATGTTCTGATAACTTGAATCTGAGTGGAATTCTGCATTTGCTATATCTCTTTCTCCTATTCTACGGTATCTGTAGATGTCATTTTTTTTTTTTTTTTCTCTCTCTCTTTCCTGCGTCCTCTTTTTTTTTAAAAATTTATTTTTCGCCTCTCAAACAGACTTCCCCTCTTTTTTTTTCTCCTTATATCTTTCTTTTTTTTTGCTTTTGCTTTTACATAAAATATGTTACTTTTCTCTTGCTTTTCTATTTGGGACATGTCTTTTTTTTATCTCTTTTTTTGATCTGACATGATCCTTCAGCTATTCCTCTCACTTCTGTTTTTCTGCACTACATCAATTGGGCTGCAGCGAAAGCGAAAAGAATTACACACAAAAACAAATGTAGAATGTTTGATGTACATGTTACATGAGTGTATATATATACAGAGAGAAAGAGGGAGAGAGAGAAAAGAGAGAAAGAGTCATGTGAACACACAGAGGTATGTGTATGCGTTTATGTACGTATGTGTCTATAGAAATGATCACGAAAAAAAGAAAAAATAAATAAAAACACGATATAAGGGATAAGAAGTGAAACCATGGGACGAAAGTATATATATATATATATATATATATATATGGTTTCAATAAAAAGCATGAGATTGATCCATACTTTATACCTGTTTTTTTTTTTTTTATTTATTTCCCCCCGTCTCTCCTTCTTTCACTCAGCCACTCCTTAGAGCAGTGTGGGTATGGGCCTCTATTCACATACAGACACCGCACAGTAATATATATATATATATATATGTGGGGTACTGAGAAAAGAAATGTAAAGTGAGGCGAGAAGCAGAAAAGAGAAAAGTATGTGAAAGTACGTTCATTACTGTGAACAACAACAAGAATGAATGACATTCAATGAAAATTAGAAATAAAAAGAAAAAAGAAAGAAAAGGTTGCGTTACAGCAAAATTGTCATGAGCATTAATGATCCTTACCGATAAATAACAATACAGAAAAGAAAAGAAGAAAAGCATCGAACGTTTTTTTTTTTTTTTAAGTGGAAAGCGAGAGAGTTTTTTTAGCGCGACGTTATCTTCAAATGAGAAGAAAATGAAAATCTTCATGTGAAAAGAAGAAAGAAAAGCGCAAAAATTATGTTTAAGAAATAGTTCTTGTGCCGTTTGATTTTTCATATAATATGTTTGTAATTCTTTTCTTTTTTTCTTCTTATTTTATTAACGTTTCACCCATCTCAGTTATCTTCACTTTCTTCAAAAACACATCTGCGGAAGCAAAAGAAAAAAAAAAAAATGAATGGAAGGCCATCAATTCTTTTTGTGTTAATGTTTTTTTTCCCCCTTATCTTTTTTAATTCTCTTTCTTTTTCTTTTTGTCTTCATCTTCTATTAGGCTTCTTTTTTCTTTTTTTAATCCTTGGAGCGTATCAGCTACTGCAATAGCGCTGATCAAGAAGGAAAAAAGAAAAGAATTATATAGAGTCATATATATATATATATATATATATATATTATGCATGACAGCATTACCGGAATCACTGCAGGTTAATGATCATCTCGAACTCTTTCTGAAGAATAAAACTGCGGCTGTGGCTGGAGATGAAAGAGAAGTGGAGGTTGGATCTGCTTATTGTGATCTCTCAACGGAGACACAAACACTATCGCATCTCTTTGATAGACTTATGGAGAAATTAAATGAAACACGACGGGAATGCCGTGCGGATCGCATTGCCCTCACCAGAGAGGTGGAGACACAACTGCGCGATATTCGCACATCTGCTGTGACCACTCGAAGTCAACAGGAACAACTGCAGCGGGAGATGCGGGCACTGCAGGAGAAACTGCAGAACGCCGCTCTTCAACGGGCCTCCACTATTCGCAGCAGCACCGATCGCCTCGCTGTGCACACACTGGCGAAGACATCGCAACAACTCCGCCGGGATGCGCAGCAGGCACTCAGTGCGGTGGAGTTGTTGCGGACCGCCGTCTTTCACGACCGCCTCACGCGGGAGGAGCGGCAGAAGTGTGAGGACGAAGAGGACGCGGAGATGGAATTGCGGCTGCAGCACACAGAGACAACCACCGCAGCCCTCCAACGCAATTTACGCCGATTGCACGCGGAGAATCAACAACTCACACGACTGCTGCAGTCCATCGTGGGAGCCGTGCGGGGGCTGGAGCCGCAATTGGCCCAACAACAGCGGCAAGTGGAGGAGACAAGAGAGGCATTTCATCGACTGCGGGCGGCCCACACACGACTGGAGGGAACAATGGAATCGCTAATACACCACACTGAACAGTATAAGGCCTCACACGATGCGGTCCTGCGCCGATTGGAGAAAAGTGTGAAGGAGTTGGAGCAGCAAGTGAAAAAACAACAACAACAACAACAAGAGGAGGAAGAGCGGTATAGGTATGGTGAAGGAAAAAGGATGAATCTTATCACTGGTAATGTGAGTAACAGTAGCATTAGCAACAGTGCCAATAAGAAGAAGAATATGAATCCTAACAATGACCGCATTGAAGGAGGGATAATAAATGAGAGTAGAATGTGGCAGCAGAATAACTCTGGAGTGATGAATAATGAGAGTACAAACCGTCCGTTGCAACAACGTTTAGAACTTTTCTACAGAATTTACAACCCAGATAAGATTCCCTCTATTGCGACTATTATCGAAGAATATATGGGGGCTGAGGAGGAACTCATGGCAGCACTTGAAGTGCACTATGATGCTTTTGGTTTTTTTTCACATTACTAGACACGACCACAAAAGTATCAATCATCAGTGTTGATGATATCTTTCAATACAATACGCAGGACACATGATAAGTATGTGCGTCTTTGTGCAAGGAAGAAAAAGAAAAAGAAAAGAAAGACAAAAGTATCATTGTATTTTATTATTATTATTTTTTATTTTTGGTATATTTCGTTGACTCTTGTCTTTTCGTTTGTGTTTTCTCTTGTTTTTTTTTTCTTTTTATTACTCTTTGCGTCCATATCACCTTTTTTTTCTTTATTTTCTCGTTCACTTCTAGTTTTTTTCTTGTTTTTTTTCTACTAAACCCCTTAGGCAAAGCACATACCCTTATCTATATCTATCTACATCTATACATCTAATATATCTATATATCTCTATATCTATATATATAAAAAAGAAGGTAAAAGAAGAAATGACCAATGAAGACGTTATGCCGCGTGTAATTGTCTTTGACCTTGACGGCACGCTGTGGTCACCGGAGATGTATCAACTCTGGGGAGGTGGCGGCAGTCCCTTTCGGATAGATACAAACGGTAAAGAAAAAAACCACAGCCACAGCAGTGCTGCTATTGATAAGGCTGGTACGACGGTAAGCCTTATTGGTGAAACTCGCACACTGCTGCAAGAGTTACTAACAGATCCGAAATGGCGCAATACATATTTGGCTGTTTCTTCCACTTGTGATGAACCGCGATGGGCAATGGAGTTACTGCATCTCTTTAAGTTTACAGATAGGGCGGGGAACCAGGTACCGATGCTCTCACTATTTGGGGATCTTGTGGAAATCTACTCTGCGAACAAGGCACAACATCATCGGACTATATTGAAAAAGGTGCAGAAACTAGATCCCAGTATTAAGGATGACTTCTCACAGTTTATCTTCTTTGATAATCAGACAAACAATATTGAAAGTGTTCGTAGTATTGGAGTCTCGAGTGTGTACTGCCCAAGTGGTCTCGTGGGTGGAGTCTTCGAGAGAGGGATTAAAGAATGGCGAGAGAAGCAGAAGAAATCTACTCTGTGATGACCTTTTCTTTTTCTGCATTACCCAACCCCCATCTCTTAAACTTTATGCTACCATTGTTGTTTTTTCATCTCTCTTTTTTTACTCCTATAACCATAAAAAAAAATATTCGCTCGTAGGTCCCTGATATCCACAAACCTTTTTTTATTCTAATAATTCTTGTTTTTTTTTCTTTTTCTTTTTTTTTATGACTGAAGAGATGCCTCTTCTTTTTCTGACACCTTAAACGCCGAGATTTTTTACTTGTTCTTGTAATAATATCTATTATCTCTCCTCCTCTTCCTTTTTTCTTTTCAACTTGCGGGGCTCTTGTGTTCAGTTTACCAAAAAAAAAAAAAAAACAAAGAAGTAATACAGGAGCAACAAGAAGGACAACAAACAAACAAAATATCAGCGGAATCAAAAAGAAAAGAAAAAAAATACACATAGATTAACAAGACACAGGTGTGGGTGACACCGGCGTCACTGGACCATTATTGAAGAGGTAATGGGACGCTTCCTATTATGTGTGGAAAGTGATGTACGTGAGGTGAATAGTCTTCTTGCATTTCACAACGTCCATCCGCAGGTCCGTGCAGATGTGCAACGGCGTCTACAGCGACTAGTCTACCGCGTGTACGAACACGTGGGAACTCTCGAGCCCGGCTACGGTGAATCCCCACACGATATCTGCGCTGCCATTGTTCGGGATGTCGTGCATAACACTGTGCAGAATGTCATTCCGCTGGTGGAACTCGCAGCGGAGGAGCGAAACGCCGCGGCGCTGCAACAACGCACAAGAGATTTAGCGGAGGAACTGCGAGTGAGTAAAAAGCGGTGTGAGGAACTGCAGGATTCCTTCGCACGATTCCGCAAAGCACATGATTATATGTTGTGTTGTTACTTCCGAGAGGTGTTGTTGCTGCGGTATCAGTTGCGTGAGGCCGTGGCCAAGCGGCGAGCCTCGCAGGCCCGCCTGCAAATATCGCAATTAATACAACCCGCCGCGGCCGCGCGGAAGGCCTCATTGGCCATGCGTGAACCGAAGATTGTGGAGATGGTGGAGGGTGCGGCCGCGGCCTCAACGCTGCTGGCTACATCCGAGTCCGACTCGCTAAAGGAGGGAGGGGCCTCGTCTGGGAGTTCTCCCGTTATTGCTGTTGTGGCCGCTGTTCATCCTGCCGCCGCCGCTGCAGCTGCTGCTGCTGCTGCTGGGAATAATACAAATGTGAATACGACGACTGGCACCAGTGGTACAATAATAACGACTCCTACTCCTACGCCTACGACGATAATGGCAACAACAACAACGACGACAACAACGACAACAACAACAATGACGACAAATGCTACGGTTACGATACCACAAGCAGCACCTGTATCACATTTTTCAGTGGTGAATGAAGCGGCAGGAGTAGGAACCGTTGTAGCCATATCAGGTGTATCCGCCACTTCAGCCGGTTCAGGCAATTCAGCTGTATCCACCATTGGAGGAAAGGCAGTGATTACAACAATACAAGCAACAGAAGGAGAAAAGGGAGGTAAAAGAGAAAAGTTGCGTTCTGTAAAGACGGTTGGAACACAAACTGCTAATAGTATAGGGGATGAAAGTGTGGATGCTATATTTGACTATGAAGATTACGTACGACAGTTGCAATTGCGTAAAAGTCGTCAGAGAGATCCTGGATCATCTGAAGGTGGTTACTTAATGACAGCTGATATGGCGGCCTTGGAAAAACGTCGTCGAGAAGAGTTGTCTGGTCTTCGCTATAAGCAAAAACAAATGCAGCGTGAGCAAGAGTCTGCAATTGCGTCATTGAAAGCCAAATTACGAGAGACTGAGAGATCTAGTGGCTCTGCATCAAAGTTTACCGCAACACTTCGACCTATTAAGGAAGAGTTATTAGATGAACTCGGTGTGATCTTTCGTGGTATGCGGCGAATGCGAGAACAACATTATGAAGATATGACACTTTTGAAAGAAGCCGTACGGGTTATACAGGTGCGTGTGGATCAGCTATTGTTGTTTCTCACTCTCTACGCGGATGAAGTGGGAAGTATTGCGGCCCAACTCGGAACAGAGGAGGGAGAATTGGAAGGTAGTAGAACAGCTGCACCTTTTGCAGAGGATGATCCCTGTTATCGGCGTGTTGTTCTTGACTTCTTTGCCATTCCATCACTGACATCAAGAGCATCATCCTCAGTAGCAACAAATGATTCGGGTGCCACACAATCCACATCCGCAAGATCACCAGTACCCTCAGCAAGGGAATCACTTTCAGCATCCATACGAGAATTTGCTGCTATTAACGTGGATGAAAACACAGAAGATCAAACAAAAAAGAAAAAGAAAAGTAAGAGTAAAAGTGGTAGCAATAAAACTGGGGCTGGTGAGAATGGGACTGGTACTATTCCTAACGCAAATTCTCATCTTGTCTTTGGTAATGATACTCCTTCTGATGCACGACGTTATTGGTCAAAGAATGCTGTTACTATACAAGCCACACAAGCTTTCGCCGCACTTCAGGCAGCTGCCCTTAAACTACGTAGCAACAAATCTTTATGGCTACAACAACAACAACAACAACAACAACAACAACAACAACGACGAAAAACAGATGCCTTGCGCACCTCCGCAGTAGAGTTTGCCTCCGTTACCAGTGGACAGCTCTCGAACACGTTTGAGAGCATCAGTAGTATCTTTGACGAGAACGATGTAGATATGTTTACATCTCGCTCACGTGAAGAAATATTGCGTACACTTGTGCAGCTACGTATGAAGCGTATTGCCGCTCGTGCACGCTATCGCACACAACTTCGTCTTCTCAAAAGGGCCGCAGAAAACGGACAAGATACCGCTAGTATGCAAGATATACTATATCAAGCATGGCAACATGAAAAGAAGGTAGAAACTATTACCCGCGTAATAGATAGGCTACTAAGTCTCTTGGGTCATTCTCAAGGAGTAACAAGTGAAAGACACACATTCTTTACGAAAAATCTCGGTCTATCTCCATATCTAAATGATCCATTCCAAACGCGTAGTAGTGAAGATGATGTAGTGTATGTGCCTGTTCCGGTGAAAGCAGAACACGCAGGTGAATTATGTGCTACACTAGCCTCTAATCAACCTGGTCACGTTGTATTTAATGGTGAAATCATTCCCATTGCCAGTGTTATGTATGATAATCGTTCTGGTGTTCTTCTTAGAGGAAGATCAGCGGGATCGACGAGAACAGAAAGACAAGGAGGCCGGCGTCGTTTAGTTCCTTTTCACGGTACCGTAATTGATTACTATCGTGGGGTACAACTAGGACGTCCATTACATGATCATCAAGGACCATTCTCTGTTATATGGGACCCAGAAGTGGAATCCTTTCTTCTTGGAGAAGATGGAAATGCCGCGCGAAAGGCCATACTACAACAACAAGAAGAAAGACGCCAACGAAATATTCATCTAACGACGATTTTAATGCCTGCCCCATTACCAGAGACCGAAGAGAGTGAACCTCCTCTTATGCAAATGGCCCCATCTACAGTAGTGGCTCCACGCAGACCCCCACAGGAGATGCGGCCGCCAAGCCCAACAGCAGTGATGTTCACAGAAACAACACCAGCCATTCTCACTTGTGGTCCTCCACCGTCCGCTCGACTACCACCATGCGCTTCTTCAGCAGCAACCACTACAACTACCACAGCGAGTAAAGATCGCCAGGTCCGTCTTGCGGTGATTCAGCCAAAGAAGGAAGATATGGATTTGATGCGTATTGAGTCTTTATCAGCACGACGGGCTGCGGGTGGGGCAGTGAATGTCATTCCCACCGCAATGCCACCCGTTAAACGTGTTACTGTCACAGCCACCAGCAATACCACAACGGCATTATCACGTCTTAAGAATAAACAGCACAAACAACGCCAGCAACAACAAAAGAAGGAACAACAACAATCCCAACAACAAAAAGTGGGAGGGGCACAAGAAAAAGAACTTCCAGTGTTACATTGGCCTCCCTATGGTGGAGAGTCAACACCTATGGCGGGTGAACGTCTCATGCGAATGCGCTTTCCGCGCTTTATCCCAGTTTCACCATCACACTCTGAGTAAGAGAGAGAGAGAGAGACAAGAAGGCATCAGTGTGGTATTTCGTGCAGAAAGAATTAAAAAAAGTCAGTTTATTACCAAATACATACACGTGGGAATTTTCCGTTCAAAAAAAAAAAATAAAAATAAAATAAAAAAAAATGGAATCCCTTTGAAGTTTATTTTAGAAAAAAAAAAATGAATGTACGACTCTATAGCCGGTGATAGTTTGTATATGAATTCTTATTCTATTTTCCCTTTTTTCCCACTTGCTTCTATACAATATTTTATCATTTTTTTTTTTTTGGATGTACACAAGAAGGAAAAGCTACACAATTGGGAGGGAAAAGAGAGTTACAGTGTGGGGACGTGTCAAAAGACACGATGATGTTCATACCATTTTCAGTTGTGTACTGTCCTAGATACCGAGTTTCAACGACTTTTTTTTTCCTTTTTCTTTTTTAATTTTTGGAGAATTTGGAAAGGGGAAAAAAAAGAAGTATTGGAAAGTATATATATATATATTGACGTCTGCTATACAAACTGATATAAATAATTAAATATATAAATATATAGAGTTACACAATTATATCAGATTGGGGATGCAAATGTATTTTTTTTTTCTCTTTCATTTCTCACCTTTTTTTTTTCTTTAAATTCTCTTAAGTGAAGTTTACGTGTCTCTGTGTGTATATATTTGTCGGATCTCCTGTGGCTTACCTCGTTGCCTTTGAAAGAGGCAAGAAGAACAAAACAAAAGAAAAAAATAGAGACACATATATATATATATATATATATATATATATATATATATACAAACAAAGAAAAAAGAAAAAAAAGAAAGAAATTGATGTTTGCTAGTAAACCCCTCACCGTAGCGGAGGCGGAGCGGGTGTGTCGCTGGTACTTCCGCGCTGGTTTCGCCGGTCTGCCGTTGTTGTGGTTTGCGGTGTGGCTTTCCTTCCGCCGCCGTGCGGAGTCGAGTGCTGTGATTGCGTGGTACACCACCACTTCGCTGTGGCTGAGCATTATCGCCGGCCTGCTGTTGATTGCATGGTACGTGGGGGCATTGCTGCTGTTGCCGAGATCGAGTGCACTCTTTGTGATTCCACCCTTCTCGGATGTCTGGCAGTCCGGCTACTATGCGGTTTCAACACCACGATGATATTGCTGGTCATACATTTTCTTTATTTTATTTTTTTCTTTTCTTTATATGTGTTGAGGTGGTGTAGTTATCATCATGAGTGGGTGGGAGATGTGTCTTGTACAATCGAAGATCTGTGTAGTATACTTCTTTCTTCATGGATTACCAATGGGAGATGTTTGTTATTGTGTTTCCTTTTTTTTTTTTAAAAAAAAAACTATCCCTATATATATGTATATATGTATAGAGAGATATACATCTATATATACATTCTTTCTTTTTCTTTTTTTTTTTTTATTTTTCTTTCTTTAGAAAAAGAACCTTTTTTTTTATTTTATTCTTCCTTTGTTAACACAGAGTCATCAATACAATATATTTACATAGAGCAATCTGAAAGAGGTTGGACGCGTCCTCGCTTGTAGAGTATCTCGAACGGTAAAAAAGAAAAGGGAAAGAAAATCCCCATACTGAAGTGAGGCAATTGCTAAGCAGGCAGACAACAGAGAGAAAGAGGAAATCAAGGTAACCTCACACGACGAATAGAGTGAAAAGAACGATAACACAATCGTACGTGGAATTCTCATAACGATTGAAAAACAAAAACAAAAAAACAAACAAACAGCCAGGGAAACCATAGTCACAGATTTCAAGGCGAAAACAAAATAAAAAGAGACAGAGAAAAGGGGGAAAACTTCTGGCTTCTCAGCCTATTTGATAGAGGGATACACAAATATAAGCAACACACACCCACATACAGTTGCACCAAGAGGGAGAAAGAACCTTCTTTCCCCATTAGTTTTTTTTTTCTTTTTCTTTTTTTCTTTAGGTTATCATTATTATCATCACTGGTTGACGTGTTTTTTTGAAAGCTTGCGATAAGAATGGCAAAGCCTTACTTTTTGGAACTACAGATTTATGGGTTTTGGTAAACCAAATTCTATTTCTTTTATCTTTACAGTCTGCCTAACAGTAAGTTTCTGAAAAAAGTAAGTTTACAAGGAAGGAAAATGTTGAGTACGACTCGTCCCTCTTATTCATCAGTAGAATGGAGGACATGCACACAAGCATTCAAAGACTTTGTGTGCCACAACGGACCAACAGCGTTTACATTTGAAATGCGACCATCGCACGCTCCCCATTTAACTTATACCGTCGAAGGTATGTTAACCTTAGAACATGATGCACTCAAGATACGTACAGGGGAGGATCACTGTTTGGACTGGGAAAATTTGCGTACCTCCATAATTAGGTTTCACATGCCGCGAAACCAAGATTTTCTACAGGCCTTTGAAGCAGCACGAGCGCAATTCAGTGCCGAATGGGCATTACTGGAGGAGACAGAGTCATTATTATGCCAGCAGTACGAGGGCATGCGTGCCCAGTTACAGGACCACACCTTCCGGGTCCAGCAGGATGCAAACATGCAAATCCAGCAAATGCAACAACAAATGGCCCAGTTGTATCAAGAAGCCGCAGCTGGCAAAGCGTACCAGCAAGAGTTGGAGACGCATATCAATCAACTCCGGGCAGAATTGCAACAGAAAGACGCACAAATCATGCAAACTCAGTCGCACCTGGCGTCCGCGATCGAACAATCACAACACCAAGGACAACAGAATGGTTCTGGAGAAATCCAAAGTCCCGCACCTCAGATTCCCCGACAACACGACACCACT